AAGAAGGCATTCTTATCTCTTCTAGCTATTCTCTGGAATTCTGCATTCAATTGTTTGTATCTTTTTCTCTCTTGCCTTTCACTTTCCTTCTTTCCTCAGCTATTTGTAAAGCTTCCTCAGACAGTCATTTTGCTTTCTTGCATTTCTTTTTCTTTGGGATGGTTTTAGTTGCTGCCTCTTGTGCAATGTTGCGAACCTCCATCCATAGTTCTTCAGGCACTCTGTCTATCAGATCTAATTCCTTAAATCTATTTGTTACCTCTACTGTATATTCATCAGGGATATGATTTAGGTCATACCTGAGTGGCCTAGTGCTTTTCCCTACTTTCTTCAACTTAAGCCTAAATTTTGCAACCAGAAGCCACAGTCAGCTCCTGGTCTAGTTTTTACTGACTGTATAGAGCTTCTCCATCTTTGGCTGCAGAGCACATAGTCAATCTGATTTCTGTGTTGACCGTCTGGTGATGTCCATGTGACCAGCGTATTCTCTTGACAAAATTCTACCGGCCTGTGCCCTGCTTCATTTTGTACTCCAAGGCCAAACTTGCCTGTTATTCCGGTTATCTTTTGGCTTCCTACTTTAGCATTCCGATCCCCCATGATGATAAGGACATCATTTTTTGGGGTTAATTCTAGAAGGTGTTGTAGGCCTTCATAGAACTGGTCAACTTCAGCCTCTTCAGCACCAGTGGTTGGGGCACAGACTTGGACCATTGTAATGTTGAATGGTTTTCCTTGGATTCGAACTGAGATAATTCTGTCATTTTGGAGATTGTATCCCAGTACTGCTTTTCCTACTCTTTTATTGACTATGAAGGCTACTCTATTTCTTCTGAGGGATTCTTGCCCACAGTAGTATACCTGATGGTCATCTGAATTAAATTCACCCATTCCTGTCCATTTTAGTTCACTGATTCCTAAGATGTCGATTTTCAGTCTTGTCATCTCTTGTTTGACCACATCCAGCTTGCCTTGATTCGTGGATCTTATATTCCAGGTTCCTATGGAGTATAGATCTTTACAACATCGGACTCTCCTTTCACCACCAGATACATCGGAGTGTCCTTTCGGCTTTGACCCAGTCGCTTCATTCTTTCTGGTGCTACTAGTACTAGTCCTCTGCTCTTTCCCAGTAGTATATTGGACACCTTCCGACCTGAGGGGGGTCATCTTCCGGCGTCATATCTTTTTGCCTTTTGGTACTGTCCATGGGGTTTTCATGGCAAGGATACTGGAGTGGGTTGCCACTTCCTTCTCCAGTGGATCACGTTTTGTCAGAGTTCTCTGCTATGACCTGTCCGTCTTGCGTGACCCTGCACGGTATAGCTCACAGCTTCATTGAGCTACACAAGCCCCTTCGCCACAACAAGGCAGTGATCCATGAAGGAGGGGTTCAAATTTACAAGAGCTAAAATTCTAGATCTGAATCAACCATTGAATGGTACACAAATTTTGGTGCTCCAGTGTTATGAAACCCGTGCTACAAAACTATGGCCAAGATACAAGGAGCAAAAGAATCACGCTGTGATCCTAATGGTTTAATAGTTTTTCTAAAATAGCAGCTTCCCATACCTCCTGCACTGGAGGGTAGAGTTTTCAAAATCTATTCCTGCAACATCTGTGAAGCCCCTTCTCATGCTTAGTCCAATTGAGCAAAGCAAACCAGGCCAAGAGGAAGTCTGTGAATGCTTGTGGACCCCTAGTTGCAGAACTGGCAACCTTCTCCATCAGCTGCAACTACCCAAAGAGCAGCTTCAAGGAGCAGGAAGAGAGGTGTTGTGAGTGGGTGCACCACACACCATTCCTGGTAATCAATGTTTTTCCCACCCACTGCCATCACCGGCAGCAGTGGCAAGTGTGGGAGAGGGGCTCTGCTTATGCTGCACATGGGGCTCATTTGCTTGTGACATCCCACGAACACTGGGAGAGCTTACTAAAAACTAGGACTCTGGGCCACTACAAGGTAGACTGGAGTCTGCAGAGCTGAGCCCAGGGAAACTGATGGACATCCCTACTGGAGAGCTTCAGAATTTAGTAAGAAGCTTTTCAAACAATAACTGGACTTCAAAGCAAAGCCTCTTGCATGAGCTTCAGCAGTTCTTTGGTTTTTAGTCTGTTTGTACCCAAAAAGCTACTAATACAAAATAATCTAGTAAAGGGGGGGGGGGACTACTTAGGAGTGAATTTCAGGAAGTTGTATATATATCCTGTTCAAATAATATATAGAGGTCTAACATGAAATATGCAAAGGTATATGCAGTCTTAGAGAAGTAACACTTACATGCTGATTTTGTATTAAAATATCCAGCTGAGGTTCACATGGAATGTTGAAAACAACACGAATTCTGCCTTCTAAGATAACATCAGATGAATCCTGAACCTTAAAAGAAATGTTTTTAACATAACTGAAATACCCAAAGTTAAGTCCATTTCAGTAAATCAACCAGTGAAAATGTTATATGATCATGCATCAGTGAAGAAAAGAAAGTCTTTCTATAAACAGATGGAATCTAAAACAAAATTTAGCAAAGTGGATAAAGACAGGAGGTACATAATCTGTAAAGATAACTAAATAACTTTAAAATAGCCTAGTTAGCTTAATTATGCAATAAAATAATGCAGAAAGTTTTGCTTGATTTGTGGAAAAATACTTGAAGAGAGGCTTTTCAGTTTTAGCGATTTTTTAAAAAAACTAACTTCTCCTGTGCAGCCATAGTAAGGTGTTCCCAGCATGAAGACTGTACATCCAAGAGGAAATAGGTCATCCAAAGTTTTGAGTTTGGAATAACGAGAATCAAATGTTTTTAAATCCTGCATGAAAAACAGAAACATTTGTGTTAGTATAACTGACATTAACTAGGTATACAATACAAAATAATGATTATTTTATGAAATAATCTAATCATCATTTTTCTCTTCCAAAAAGTTACTATTCTGGAAAAGTTTTCAGCATGTCTGCTAAATTGAAGTCATTGGGATAAACATCTACTTTCCAATTCCAGTTCTATCACAGGCTCTGAACAAGGACAGTTCAATAATGCCTAAAGGCAGTGGCAGATCATTCTATTTCTTCACTGCAAATAATACATTACTCAAAACAGAATTGCTGCAGGATCTAGGCAACTCTGGGGCTCCATCTGGTGACCAGAAACCTGAACAGTTTCTGCAGGTGATGCAGAAGGAAGGAGATAGGTCTGTGTCCTTACACCAGAGGTCCTCAAACTTTTTCAATAGGGAGCCAGCTGAAAGGCAGTGGCTACACACATGGACCAGTGGGGGGGGGGGGTGCCTGGGCGTGCAGGCCGGTGAGGTGTCCTCAGGTGCATGCGAGGTGGCGTTGGGCACGTGTGGCGGCGACTTGCTCACTCAGACATCTCCCAGCAAGTTCAAAACCATCTCCGAGTGAGCAAGCCACCACCTCCAGCCTGCGCTGCAAGGTAGCAGCGAGCACAAGTGCAAGGGGGAGGCAGAAGGCAGCAGCAGCAGCTTGTTCGGAGGTGCTTTTGAACTCACTGGGAGATCTCCCAACGAGTCCAAAACCATCTCCAAGCAAGCAAGCCACCACCTCCCGCCTGCGCAGTGAGCGCACGCACGGGCGGTGGTGTGGGCTGGATGAAAGGGCATGGTGCACTGAATCCATCCTGCGGGCCATAGTTTGAGGACCCATGCTCTACACTTCCTTCAGAAAGTAAAGACTAAAGCCAAACTGAATCAGGTCATATTTGATTTGTATCTCTGCCTGTATTTTATTGATGTTCTTTTTAACATGATGTAATTGGTTTTTATTGTCTTTTTAAATGTGATTGTGAGATGCCCAGAGGTGCTGTGGCACAATTGGGTGGCATACAAATGTTTTAAATAATAATAAAATAAAATAAAATAAAATAAAATAAAATAAAATAAAATAATTGCAGCATTGGGCTGATGCCCTGCTGGAACTCTCAGCCTCTTGATGCGCACCAGCTGGGAGATGCATTGGAAAAGCTATCTAAAAGCAAGTGCATCTCATCAGTGGTTACCTAAGAAAGACCAGTATTCCCATAAACCAGTGTGTCCTAGCTCCTGCATCTTTCTTGACCCTCACTTGATCCAGTTCCTGCCTTGTATCACTTCACCTTGCTTTCCCACACCTTCAGCTGCCCCTGAATCCTGCTTGGTTTATTCTGCTTCAGGTACCTGCTCTCTGTCTGATCATGACTGTGCTCCCTGCTCTGTACTGTCTTCCCCATTTCTGGATCTATTACTCAACCAAGACCATGTCCTTGTTTTCCTTTAACATGAGCTTCCATTTCTTGATGATGGCTCAGTTCTTGACTATTCCTCTGCCTCCAGCCCAAACACCTCTGTACAATGTTAGACCCAACTCTGCCAAGGCTCTGCTGCCTGCACTACAGATCCTTCCGGCAAGAGGACAGAAGTAACAGTGGAGGAACATGCTATCAGAACAGAACTTTTAGCCATCTCGCTAAGTGCATGTAGTAGTCATCTAAAGACTTCGGCTATAGCAGCTATGAGACAACAGTCTTCTGGATCTAACTATGCTTATCTGTCCTGCATAGTATTAAAACATTTAAACTTAAAATAACATTTTGAGTTGTAATTTTATTGCAGATATTATAGCAGGGGTGGGGAACCTCTTGGCTTGAGGGCCAGAATGCCACCCATGAAAATTTCCCAAGGGCAGCATGGCAGCAGTAGACACAGCCAGAGCCTAAACTAGACATGGCCACTCATTCTCTCACCCCACTATTCCCATTACCTCTCCCTCAGCTGATCCATGAACATCAGCTAAATGGATGCTGGGGGAAGGGGGGATTTTCATCCCTATCTTGGCAGATTGTGCATGGTTTAAAGCCTCCACACCAGAGGTTGAAATCCTGTTATAAAACGCACTGGAGGTGGGGTGGGGGCGGTCTAGGAAAGGTACTAGCGGACCAGATATGGAACCCTATAATGAATTACTATTACTTGAAATTGGTACAACTGGAAAACTGCCAGCAAAATGAAGAACTGAAATGCTCACCTTGACAATTGTTTGGTATGCAAAAGGCAGAATCTGCTTGGACCACTGCTTCTCCAAACACACTTCACCATTTTGATGTAAATGATACCTACGTCCAGTTAGCAACTGAGCATATACAATTATACAGGTGTCATTTATAAATACTCCTTTTCTTCTCTGGTAGCTGACAGAAAAAAAGAAATTGTATTGCCAATTAAAAATGTGTACATAAAAAAGAAAATGTGACATACCTCAACACCCATTACAATTCAAACAGATGATATTCTAAAACCACGGAAGCAATTTTAAGCAGAATTTTTTACATACCCTCTGCATGCAGAATTTACACAAAGCAGAATTTTTTTACATACCCTCTGTGTGGAATGACAGTTCCAAATGAAATGTTGCACTCCATAATTACATGACAGGCAAGCACTCTAACTTTCAAGTAAATATATACACTATAGAACTTAAGACAATTTATTTCAGTCTGCAGCACTAAACAGTAGTGAGCAACACAGAAAAGGTCCCGAGCTCACTTAAATTAGGGAGGTGGCTTTGAGAGTGAGATGGAACCCCTGCCCTCCAAAAGACTGGAAGTAGTGAATTATATAAAAGAAAAACTAAATCCATTATTTTTTTCCATCTATCATGCTTCTTCCAGTGCTATTTCAAGTTTTTCACATTTGATGTGCTATCAAGGTTCAGTGTGGCTTCTTGCAGAACATTTTCATCACCTTGGCTTTAGAAACTTCTACATTGCCCAAGTAAGTAATATAAAAGCTTGGACATTTAGAACACAGGTTCTCCTTTTGATGTACTACATGGTATTTGAAGTGTCCTCTTCTATTCAAGGAGCACAAGAACACCAGAATCTGAAAAGGCCTTCTTCTTGTCTAGTCCCTAACCCATTCAAGGCATAACTTTGGTTATCCAGAGTCCTGAAAAAGAGAATCTCCATGCAAGGGGACTGCTAACACCAGTAAACACATTCATGCCCATTAACCTCTCTTAGTGAGGTGTTCATGCCCAGAACTGGCACATGGAGCTTCCCCTTTGGACATGCCATCCATGGCAAGTGTACTAGTTTCCTAGATACTTCTTTTGTCTGCTTTGTTCATAACAGAAAATTACCCCTCCCCCAAACCAAGGAATTATTTCAGCAACACTGAGTTTGTACCTTCCTCCTCAGAAAATCTGGCCTTCCATAGTCTGCTTTCTCTTCATTCCTCTCCCTCCTAGTCTTCCATACCCTTCCAAACTGTGTTTCTATTAATTTATACTTGGAAAATTAGGGTTCTAGGGCACCCAAGAAGGCATCAGTGTCCTTCAGCCCCTCAGTATCACTTCTTTGTGGCCTCAAAATGCATATTAAGAACAGTACACTTGGCAATTCATAATCTTTAAAGATGTGACCCTATAATTCTCCTGTTTTGGCCTGCAAAACAAACAACTCCCAGGCCACAGAAAATATTAAAGGAAACATCCCCCCCCCACATTCTCTTCACATTTAAATAGGTAATATTTGCATCTCACTCCTCTCCTCTACCCCCAATCACTTCTTCCTACACTCCATATTAACCTTACCTGTTTTTCTGCAAGTCAACCTATTCACACACCCATTACCCATTCCAGTTAGACCTCTCACAAACTTATTTAAGCTGTTACATATTCTTACACAGAAGGGTATTCATCTTCCATCCAAACCCCTCACATGCAGTTCTTAGAGGTCTTCCCATAGAAGACAACTAAGTCCACCTCTGAATTAACATAACAGCAGCCTGTCCCATTTTAATCTGCTGTGTAATTTAATGTGTATACTCCTATACTTTCAATAAACTGTATTAATCCCTGGCTATACTTTCATGCTGGTCCCCACTCTAGGCAACCCAGCGTTAGGACCATGGCTTATTCTCTCCTTGGGCACCCTGGTTCCTGGCATTGTACGTCTTGATTCTAGGCTAGAAGCCTTACATGTGTCAAGCAACACCCATATTCATTCATGAGTATTTGCATATGAGGACAAATTGTAACAGAGATAACATCTCAATAAGAAGTTATACCCATTGACTTGAGTTTAGATACACAAAATTGGTGAGTTAGCTGAAAAACAGGTATGGTCATCTAAATCACAATACATTTCTAGAACTTGCCAAAAGCAAGTTGCTCATCCTTACAGTGAAATCAGTTAGTTAAAATATACTGTCAAGCTATGAACACATTTGAACTGGTATCTTACTATTCTGTAATTCCTTGGATTTCTTTCATCCAAAAATTCTGTTCTTTATCTCCAACAACTGTTACTTTAGTAGGTGGCACAGCATTTCCCATATAGAGTTTTTGTGTTCCGGGAGGCTCCTCCAAACTAAACCTTAAATATAAATATGCAATTAATACAAAACAGAAATAAATCTACATTTTGAATTCACATCTTATTTTTACACATGTGTGTATCTGTGGGACTAGGTTTCTCTGAAACTTACAAGTGTGCATTGGATAGCAGGTGAAATTAGGTCAGATGTGTTATTCACCTACTAGAAATATAATTTTAAAAATGAAAAACACTTTTGCTTTGCTATAGGTATCGATGACACAAGCAAAGCAGGCTTTGCTTTCACTTATCCAGACGAAATTCTCTTCCCATTAGAGGTGCAGTGAACAGGTGATTAATGCTTTGCCTTTCTGTACAAACTGTTCATAATCTCATAGTTGTAATAATTCTTGAAATAACTATATTAAAACACAATAGCCATTGCTGTGAATCCAAGTCATTTGAAATTTTGCTTGGAAAGATGAACTTCTGCAGAAGCAAGTAACTGATCAACCTTCCAGAGCAGTGTTTCTTACTTAGTTTCTCCATCTGATACAGCAACAGCTCTGGCTTCCTCCAGGTGTGGCCAATTAACAAAGATTGATTTTCCAAGCACCGAACTGGCTACATATTCTACACTCTAAACAAGAAAAGCAATTGATTAGCCTGAAATAAATCCATAATAAACATTAAATGTATTTGTTGGATTGTGTTAGGCAACATAAGAAGGTGGTTCATGTGTATGTGTTTGCTTGCCATATGTTCTATTCAAATGCATCTTACATATTACACCAGAACCTCTGGTGACAGATTCTTCTTTAAACATTTGTAAGATAAACGTCATAAATATATTGCACAAAAATGACTCGACTTTTTGCTGGGAACCAACCCACCACATGCAGCCCCCAAGGCCTTGATCTGTGGCCCTCTTGCTGCTTTGAGTCCCCACCTCCCACTCCCTTCCCCCAGTCTGCATCCTAGCAGTGGTACTGGCATAACTGTGGCGAGCTCTCCCAAGGCCACTGGCCCATCCCATTCTCTTTTTAAGGCTCAGGAAAAGACCAGGTGGAGCTTGCAGCCCTGCAAGAGCTTGGCCCAGCATGCCCCATGCTGCTTCAGCTGACCTCCTCCAGTATTAAGGAGTAACAGCCAAGCTACCCAGAACTTAGAAGCAAGTCAAAGAATTTGTGCATTAACCTCAGATCCCACCATCAGTTCTAAAGACTCAGGTGTGGTAAAAATGTATTTCTCAGAGTTCTTATAGTTCCTTAAGTATAAAGTAATACCAACATGCTCCCAGCCAACTTGGATTGACAGAGAGGACTTCGGGGAGGGTTTGATTTGTGCATTTTCAAAGTGGCTCCCTTATAATGGAGGTCATCCATCACTGTAAGGTTTGCCTGCCCTCCTGTTCTTTCTTTTGTGCATAATCCTTGCCGGGCTACCCAGAGCTTGGGCCACTTCTCTAATAATATGCAATCACAAAGCCAATTTGAGAAAGTCAGACACTAACCAGTTCCTCTGAATCTTCTGCAACCATAATTTCCAAAAGCATATTTTCTCCATGGCTGCTCTGCTGAAATACTTGCACCCCACTTTTTTTAAGATAGAACTAAGGATGAAGGAAAAAGACAGTATGTTCAAGAAATGCTGCCTCAAAGAATCTGACATGAAATCTAATTTCAAAATAAAAAATATAAAAGCTGCATTTTACCTTATGATTAATATGCTTCAGAGTAGGAAAACCACAGAAATACAACCTCTGCAAATCCACTTCAGTTATTTTATTATGGGCTATATCTACATGCCAAGCATCCAAAGACATAGCTTTATGCCTATAAAACAGAGCAGCAATAAAAGTAATTTCCTTATGCAGAATGCAAACATCACTTTCAGAAAAATATTGAAATATTTTATCTTTCAGTTAACAGAAGCTGAAAACAAACATGATATTAAACTTAAGGTAAATATCTACTCAAAATTAAAGCAAGACTACTATGTACATGCTGAAGTGTCTTTCTTTGAACACATAGCTTCAGGAAAGTTAAATCTTTTTTATTTTATTAAGAAGCAAGTATATCTTAAAGTGCTTATCTATTTCTCTCCAATGTATTTGTATTATAAACTATGCGTGAAGCTAGAGCCTACTTACACAGATGTATTTTTGAAATCCATGGATTTTGCAAAACAATTCACACATACCTAATGAAAATCAGGCAGCACAGCAGTAGTGCAATGAATTGCATCCTTCACATAAAAATTAGTACTGTAGTCTTACCTGACATGGCATCTTTCTACGGAAGGGAACTTCTCTGGCCAAGGTGAGAGGTACTTGAACTCTGTATCTCTATCATACAAGTACATGAAGCACTCACTGTGCCTATTTCTTTGTTTTTCTTCTTCTGTCAATAACTTATTACAGGATTCCATGGCTTCTAACAATCGTTTCTAAATAAAATATAGCATTTGGTAGATATAAATTCACGTATTGTTGCATTCAGACATCCCCCACCCCAAACCCTCTCCCCACAACTATTTAAATGCTGGCCTGGATCTAGACTTAATGAAAGATATTGCCCACTGAAATCAATGAGACAAGTTATCATGACTTGTCTATCAAATGCTATATTTTAAGATGTGATCACTTTTCCTGTTAATGGGAACCACAGTGGCGGTGAGAAGGGTTAACTGCCCACTGCCTTTCATACTGTTTCAATAAGAAACCAACTTAGCCTGGATCCAAACCTACTCGCTGTTTAAGAAAAGCATGAATAGAAGGGAGAATGAGCCTGGTTTAGCATGTCTGTTCTTGTCTGATGTAATGCTGTTTTACTCAAAATTAAATAATACTTGATTGAGCGGGACTAACTTCCCAGTGAAACCAGAACAGATATTAACAGTCATCAGCTCAGAAACAAGCTGCAGGATGGGGCAGTTCAGTATGGTCCTGATCCATTCTCCTCCTCCCACCCCATACACACGTGCACACGGGCTATTTAATTATTTTAAATTATGCACATAAATTGCTTTCATGTAATTAACACAGCCTCTAGTTTGCCACCAAGTCCTTCAAATGAGGAATTCAACTCTTCATACAGAAAGAATATTAAAAACTCCTAAGAATACTGCAACTGAAATTATTTGTTAGCAGCTGCGAAGGGTTACATTAAGATCAAAGCAATTGCCCACCTCCTCAATAAATGGAATTAACACCACAGCTTCCCATTCTTGTTGCTTTCCATTTAGGTCTGTTTTAAATTCAACTGGATAATATTCAATAATGGGAGAATCTTCACTGGTCATCAAATGCTAAATAACAGGAAAGGCACAATTCAGATTTTTAAAAATAATATATGATACTGAGAATTAAAACCCTCATACTAATCCTTATCTAAGGTAAGTAAATTTGCATGGCAGAAGTCTAAAGGAATTCAAAACACGGTCAAGGTCACTATTACGAAAAATAATCTCAGTAGAAAGAAGATACATCCAAGACAACAGAATTAGAATTCTCTTTGTACAGTAGCGGTATGGTAGCATTAGTGACACATTATTACAACCTACCTGGTAGCATTTTGGTAGCAAATCCTTGCTAGCTGCTGGTAGTACTGCAAGAAGCTGTTCAAATGGTAGGAATGGTTTTCCTAAATCTAATTGAATCTTCAGTTCACTGATTTTGCGAATATCTGAGAGGTAAGGCGCATAATGGTAGGGGTAGTACCTACAGGAAGAAAATATTTTAGTAATACAAAATACATGAATGAATGGACAAAAAATACATGGATGGACAAAAAACCTCCTTCATACTACAACCTTACTTGTCCTAAATGCTTAGAGGAAGGAAGAGACATCTGAAATACTGAGAAGGTATGTTACTCCAGCAAACATTCTAAAAGGTGCAAACACTGGCTGAGGGGAAAACGAAAAACTCAATTGTTCAGCTTTTAAATATAAGAGAAGCACGTACACATGTACAATTTAAAACACACTTAATCCCAAAGGAAACCTAGAGAATATTTTGTAAACATCCTACCAGCTCCATGACTGAACCCCATGGTAGTAGTAGTGCAATATCCATTGTATTGCTTGGATGTAGCATTCTGCTTGGTGAGCCAGGAAGTCACTAAAATGAAAGAAAATATGTAATTATGTTTTACTATGTTATCTTTTCACTTGTAAATTTACTTGAGAACAAAACTATTTTAGCAACTCAGTCCAGCCATTTCAGATACCTCAAAAGATCAACAGAGGTGTTATGTACCCAGGAATAATAATGGTAACACAATGAAATTTATGAAACAAAATAAAGGATTCAGTAGAGTAACTAAAAGGGGAAAAAAGAAGTATTTTGACAACTTCTTTCTTACAAAAGACTTTATCTGTGTTTTAGACAGTATCTTGATACTAATACTTACTCTGAAACTACTTCTACACCCATCTTTGTCATATAGTATGTTCTTTTGTATTGTCGAAACTCTGTCTCAAACAAATCATCATCTTCTGGCTCATCTTCTAATGCCGCTAAAATAAATTTAATACATTTTGAGTAATTAACTGTTGCTGTGCTCCACAGTTAATACAGTTTGTGCAGTAAAACACAACATACATTTCAAAAGTTGAAGGCTAAATAAACTGCAGTCAAGACTCAGATTTTGAAGTTGGTACAGCTTGTATAATCAAACAACCAAGAACATACATCTATCTGGCACAGGAGAGCTATAATTCTCCAGGTTTGGAGGCTTCTGGGCATCCCTATTATACTGCACCCCAAACAAATGTGTGCCATGTTAATTTTATATGCAGCATAAACAGTTTTCCCAATACTCAAAAATATCTGATGGGGAGAATCAACGAAACCCGCTTAGTGATGTTTTAATATTATAGTTGAACAAATTTAAAAATAAATTATTGTTATTGGCATACTTGCAAGCAGTTTAAGATATGATAACTCAATTGAATACATTTTACTTAGATTTTAAGAAAAAATTAAGAAACGAGAACTGTTGACATATCAATTATACCATGCCTAAAAAACAGTGCGTATGTGTGTAAGTATATATAGGTTGAGCACCCTCCATCTGGTCAAACATCACTAACAGCATTTCAGTCTTGTCAGGACTGAGCTTCAGTTAGTGAGCCCTCATCCAATCCATTGTCATAGCCAGGCACCAGTTTAGCACACCCACAGCCTCGCTTGATGAAGATGAAATGGGGAAATAGAGTTGTGTACTGATGTGAATGTGCTCCAAAATCCCAGATCATCCTACTCAGTGGTTTCATAAAGATATTAAATGGTATGGGGGACTGAACAAACCCCAGAAGAACTCCATCTGGGGCTGAACAATATTCCCCAAGCACCACCTTCTGGAGATGGCTCTTTGAGTAGGAGTGGACCACGGGAATGCAGTAGCCCTGATTCCCAAATCCCACAGTGACCTCCCAGGAGGATACCATGGCAAATGTTACTGAAAAATGAGATCCAGGACTACCAACAGAGTCATGTTTCCCCTGTCCCAATCCTGGCATAGGTCATTGTAGAGAGTGATCAAAGCTGTTTCTGTTCCAAAACCAAGCCTGAACCCAAATGAAATGGAAGCTGATGGTCTGTCTCATCCAAGAGTGCCAGAAGTTAGTTGGCAACAACCCACTCAGGAACTCTGCCCAGGAAAAGAACATTTTTAAGATCTTCCAGGTTGAGGGAAGATTTTGTCATGAGTGCTCTCACTGCTCCCTCTCAAAAGGAAGCATTAAGCACCGCCCTAGCCCAGCTAGTTTTCCCCCTTTAGTGACTTTTATACAGGAGGAGGGCAAGAATCACGTATGGAAGTAGTTCTAAGAAACTGCCCAAGTACTTTGCCAACATCCTTGAGGTGTACCTACTGAAATTCAATAAAACTGGACCATGCTTTGCTCTGGGTACTTCACCTGAATCAACTAGTATAACTCTAGAATCTAATGCATGTTACCTACTCCACTTCAGTGCTCCCTGTGACAACTGAAACAAAGAAATAAACTACAAGCAAGACTACAGACAGCCATAAGGACACACTTGCGAAAGACCAATGAAATAATACAATAGTGGTAGTACTAACTATTATGACCCCAATCCTACATTTCTAAGGCACTGTTTTTTTTTAAGCTGGCAAACAAATGATAGTTCTACCAATGTGCTGTTTCAGCATGTGAGGAAAGGCAATCACTGACAAGATTGCAAATAGCGAGTGGTGTGGGAATTTTGCCTCCTTCTTCAAATGACCACATAACTGATCCTGATAACGCATGATGAAAGTATTCTCCCAGGTTTGGACAACACAAAGATATGTAAAGCAAGCTATGGGTTATCAGTGGGCTTGTTCACAAAAACTAAGCATTCTGCACAGAGTGGTGTGGGTTTGCACAAAGCAACAACCTGCTGTGACAACACATGACTATCTCATGTTTGGCAACCTTGCACACTGCTTTTAGCGCATTGGTATGGTTTACAATCCAGTGGAACCCCAATGGAATGCCAATGTCAACAAAACAGAATCCAGCACCTCACTTCAGCCCCAAGTACCTATGGAGCAGGTTTTAGAGAAGAGTGGGAAGACACAGGGAGAACAAAAGAAAGGGAATGTTCCATTGCCTAAGTCCACTCACACAATGTTGCACAGAACCCTATGTAGATTACCAGTCAACACTGAAAAGTTTTTTCTTAGAAAAGATGTAATTTGAGAGCATGCACTGTGAGAAAAATTGCCATATTAAAACCTAAGACTATGTGAAGTATTCAAAGATCACCACAGGAAAATAAAATCAGTGCAGATCATGTGCATTAAACATTGCATTAAACTTCCTATTTTTCCCCCCAAAGGAGCAATTCATACCACCCACATGCTAAATCAATTTGTAAAACGACAAGCATTTAAAAACAGCTTCCTAAAAAAACCTTTTACCTCCTCTCAGTTGAAAAATGTTATAGCAATAATTGCTGACTCTCACAAATATTTTGTATACACATACAGACATCACACAGGCATTTTACAATCATTTTGGACTCACTTTTTGAAGTTGCTACATTTCCACTGTCAGTTTTTTCTAAAGCAGCCAAGAATATGGCATTTTCCTGAGCCTGTCAAAATTACAATTCATTCTTTTGAAATAACGAAGTAATATGTATATAGAATTAATACAAAAAATCATATTAGACTCAACAGATAGATTGCAATGGTATAAAATCAGTGCTACATATCTGCTCATGTATTGTTTTTATTTATTTTGTATCTATCCTGCCTGAAGTTGAAACTCTATGGGTAGTTTACAACAGTGCTTAAAATACAACATAAAATTACAGGTAATGGCAAATCATAAAAATTACACTACACAATTTAAAAAAAAACAGTTTTAAAACTTTATTTAAACAGCTACAATAAGCTAACACAAATTAAATCACAAGTCTTGATAGACTGTGGGCATTAAGCCCCAATATACTATCTAGAGCCGATTACATGCCCTGTTATAGAAAGGCAGTCTACGTAAAGCAGGGGTCTCAAACTCGCAGCCCGCGGGCGAATTGCCAGGACGGACGGGGCACGGGGGAGGGGCCCTGCGGCCTTCAAAGCACTGGCGGCACCCGGGCCGGCCGCGGGATGAGCGGCCCACCACCACCGCAGCGGTGGAATACTTGGTGCGGCCCAGCCTCACCCAGGCTCTACTTCCAGCGGCCCCCAGGTAAGTTGAGTTTGAGACCCCTGACGTAAAGTATGAATTTCAACAAACATTAAAAAAAACTCTAGGTCACCAGTGTGAGTAAATGTTACTTATACAAATGAATATTTTGCTCACTTGGATTTCAATTGGAAGCATACTTATTTGGAACCAAGTTGCACTAAAATCTAAGTAAAACTCCAACCTTGCATGAGTGGACTTTGGACTTTCCCCTCCCTATGCATGCCCCATATTCTTTTAAAACTGCTCCAGAAGATGGTTTGGGAGTGATGTGGGGAACTGCAAGGAGAAAGAACTGGCCCCTTCCAAGTCTGCTGGCAAAACTATTTTATTGGTTGGAGGGATTAATTGGATACCACCCCAAAACACCCACAATATCACTCAAAGCAAATTTCTTCTAGTAAAGTAAAACAGAAGGTATTAACATAGCAGTTCATATTGTTCCTTTTATAAATTATATTGTCTACAAATTTCTTATTTCATTATATACCACCCAATAGTGGAAGCCTTTACAAATATCTCAGTTACTTTTGAAAGATATATTCCTTTCAGTTCCTGTGAGTTTAAGGTGATACAAGGAAAAGACAGTGGGGATGTGAGGCAAATACTGTCCACAGAAGGAAATTTATTAATTATTCAGACTAACAAAGAAGCCTGAAGTAGTATCACTTTACCCTTTCTACCTTCTGAGTGCAAGGATTCTTCTTTTGTTGGCTCCCCCTTTGATCCAAGCACAGTTTGTTTGTTTATTTAAAATATTTATATGCCGTCCTGTCGCGAAAGCCTCAGGTTGGCTTACATAATGATGCAAAGATTAAATCCCCTGCTCAAGACCAACAAAAGGTTTATCTTTAGACCCATTTCTTCTACAAAAGAACCTTCTAAGGATTTGGGAATAGATTCTGACTCAGATGAGAAGGGAAAAGAAACTGCAGCTGAGATGACAACACCAATGGATCCAGAAATAAACTGGGTAGTAGCTGAGAGTCATTTAGCTTCAGACACTGTGGGAAGACAAAGTGAACCTAGGAATAAGGAGGGCAGATCAAACATCTCCAAATCCTAGGGGCCACTGCCAGCAAAAGAGAGCAGATCAATAAAGAAGTATCAGGTGCTCAAAGAGATAGGTCCTATTTATTTATTTATTTAATTTATTTCTCGCCCCATTAGCCATACAGAGGGTTAATGAAGGTATGTGTTGTTAATCTAAGCTTGGAAGGGAAGACAGGTATTTATTTACTTATACACATATTTATAGGCTGCCTATAACTGCTGAGGCCTTCCTAGGCAGCTTACAATACGAAGCATTCAGTTTGGAATCAGCTTCCTACCAGTTGATTACACTGTCTTAATGGCTTATTCTAATTAGGTTTCTTCCTTTTGATGACTTCAGCAATACACTTCTTTTGTACTTTCAAACTAGTCTGACTAATGAAACTTTTCGGTTAGGCCATTTCCTGATGTGCTTGGAAGGGCAGGAAAAATTATGACTTCAACAATGTCCTTTCCAACACATTAAGAAACAAATATCAGTCATATGGGCCACATGCATACATTTCTGAATAGATAATGCAAATATTTTTGCATGCTCTAAAGATTAAAACTCATTTGGGATTTAATATTTTAGCAGTAGGCAATTTTTGTCCATACATAGATCAAGACATTTAAACTAAATTACTAACCTTGCGTTTCTTTTGTTTTTTTGACTCTTCAGCTGCAATACCTGCTGCCTCATTCAAATATTTATTGCCTACTTTGCTTTCAAACCACTTCAGATCTACAAAGACTTCACTGAAGTGCTCACGATCAAACTGTTAATGTGATGGAAGAAAAATTGAGTATTAAAAATATGCTCTGGAATAAAACATATTAAATGCAGAATACACACACACTGAATCAGTCTATCAAGTTGTGTTTACTTTAAGACAATTTTTTTAAAGACAATAATTTGACACCAAAATCTCCCCCAACCCAATTTTGACTGTAGCAGAATTTTTTCTCCTTTTCTCCTAATTTAATGCAACTTCTGTAGAACTCAGCAGTTCTTTGAAATAGTTATAAAACAGTTTTAGCAAATATGAACTGCTTCATATCCCATGGATTCCTTAACAATGTGGTATCAGTTGTACTATGATGTTTCTTTTCAATTCTTCAGTGTCTATGTGTAGGTTAAAATAGTGAATGTGGAGACTTGCCATAACTGAATTTTATTTACTTATTTAATTTGTATTCCATACTAATAGCCTCTTAGGATTCTCTAAGTGAATATATATATTAGAAAGCTATGATCAAACATGGTTCCCTATAGCACAAAATCTCATGTATTACAGCATAAACTGTATGTACATCCAAAGTTATGAAGCCACTCTAAGGCTTACAATCATAAGTTTAAAGTATAGCTCTACATGACAGCTAGAAATCTGTTTCTATTTAAAAGTAAAATAAAAGCAGAGTCCCAAAACTCTTAAAGAACTTGTTAACTGTGAACTTAAAGGAGGTATTATGCTGTGAATTCAAGTTTTGTGCACTACAAATAATATATACTTACATCTGACAGTTTTGCAAGATACTTCTCAAAGCGTGGCAAGTTGAGGTGTCCACTTTCATTAATGTACCCTATCAGAAAAGCAAAGTTATGATTTCTGTTTATAATAATTGGCTGCCTGTCCTATAGATAACATTTAAACATGGGTGACACCAGGTTTGTATCTATGCCAAGAGAAGAGCTTCTCCTGTTCACAACTGAACATGGGATCCAGCAGAAACTTTCCACTGGAGGAAGGAGAAGAGACTTTCTGACAGAACAAGACAGTGGGATGGAGATTTTCACTGATCTCACCCTTATGTGTCCAGTCCACCAGTCCAAAATCAGAGGAGGTACTGTAAGAATTATCCAAAATCTCAACACCAGCTCCACCTCCAAACCCAGCAGAACCTACTAAGTTCTTATCCAAACCACAGCACTGAGAAAAGTGGATATTTTACAAAAGTAATAACATACAGGACATCAAAATTCACTGTGCTGTTTTCTTTCCCATTCTGCTATTTCTTTGTGGTAGTTTCAAAGTCCTGAACAAGAGGAAACTTTCAATGACCAATTTACCATAATTATGTGACAAACAACTTACCTCCAAGTTCAGGCAATACAGCCATGTATGTTCTATAAAGTAGTGGCAGTGCATCATGATTAATATGCAGATGAGGTAGATGAGGGATAAAATCATTTCCAACAAGAAAGCCCATTAAGATCCAGTCATCTATTATTCTTTCAATTTCATATGGAAATGAAATCTTGTCCTGATAAATAAAGGTTGATATAAATACTTCAAGATCAACTTCATGACCAAAAAAATTAACCATTTTTGCATGTGGTCTATTCATACTTACCTTAACAGGTGAAAACTCATAGTCAATGTATTCCCTCATTAAGGACAAGTGCAGTAGATGAAAAGTTGTTTCTTCTGGGGCACATGCTCTGTAAATTACAACTCAGTAAGCTGACTGAAATTTATTATTTGGTACATCACTCAAAGATTCAAACTCTTAAACAAAATGTTCAGAACTATGTGAGTTTCATTTAATTCCTTTTAAATGCAATTAATAATTTTGCAGGAGGTTACCTTTGTGATTTTTTGCCACCAAATCGAACCTCTTCTCTTAAAAGGGAGAAATGTGGCTCATGACTTGTCAGTCCAAGCATAATCTGTTGAAAGAAGTGTTTAAGATGTTTTTCTAGAACTGGGCATTTGGTAAGCCATAAATTAATGAGTTTTTTCAGTACTGTCAATAATCCCTGATCTAAGACTATTCGATCGAGATCTATGCATGCAGTAGGGTTGCCTAGTCCTCTCCTTCAGACAGAGGCTATCACACTATGTAATAGGCTGGTTTCAGTAACCATTAGTTGTTGCAGTCAGGGAAGCAAGAAATCTTAGTGCACGCATGAAAACATTTTGGATCACAGCCATATAAATACATAATCCAGAATCTCATTTATTACCAAATAAATAATTAAATGAACTCTTAACTGAACATACCAAGTCAGCATCTAAACCATACAGACAGTGTCTCGTGTTTGGATCATGGTCAAGCTTTGCTTTCTCTGACCTTATAAATTCCATAATTTTATGTTCCCCTTCTCCTGGTGTCTGAAATAAAAGGAAAAATTAGTAAATACTGGTTCATTAAATATTAATTCAAGAAGCCATTATGAATGAAAATTGTAACCTCATGTCCTGATAAGTAGACAGTGACGCCTTGCCAGGATTTGTCTGTGGAAATCTTCATATTTACAAAATACTTCAGATGTTCATGCAACCTGGCCATGAATTCAGTCCCTAGTAACAGAAATCTAAAAGTTACACTTTCATACACTGAAATCACAACAATCCATACAATCTTTTCAACTGTAAAAGATTAATAATGAATAGGAGAGATACACCCAAAGAAGCATCTCTTAAACTAAAAGCTCACATAATACTGTATGGCATTTTGCAAAACCACAGATAATTAAGAATGTAATTAAATCAAAGTTATGCATCTGCAGCTGAACTATGAACTCTACAGAATTCTAAATAATTTTAAAAATACCTATAACAGAAATATGGACTATTCAAAATTCAAATTATGACTTAGGAATTTCAATTTTGAGAGAAAAAGCAGACATTTTTATTTTGTTTCAGCTGTTTTCCTATTTCCTGTAAAAACAGTCCCACATTAAGGGCTTGATAACTTGTGTTAAGTTGATAACTCGTAATAAGGACTTAATAACCCAGACATTTTTAGTAAAATAATTTAACTTGAAACCCCTATCTTAGAATTCTGCCTGACCCAGATAATGTGTGACTTTCTGTACCAAGAAGACACAGAGCAACCTATCATAAAATAGGGAGATAAGAGAGAGAACAGAATGCAGTTTCCTTTGCAAGTTTTGCTGACTATTTTTAATGGATCACGAATGATCAGGTATACAGCAACCTTGGAATTGCCATCTTAGCTGGAAGAAGGGAGGATTTATTTTATGCATGGAAGCCATTAGGTACTCTAACTGAACTGACCTAACATAAACAATATAGTTAGAACACTCAATGTCATACTCCTTTTGTGAGCTATGATTTTATTGCTTTTTATTTTTGAGTCTGCCTTAAATCATGAAAGCAAATGTGGAAAAATCTTAAAATGTGCAACTGAGTGGCTAATACCTCCAAGTTAAAACAAAAACAAAACACTGGAAAGCAACTTTTGTTTACAGCTGCAAGAAAACTCTACAACGCTTTATAGAAGTATGCACCCTCCCTCTGACTTTTCCACGGTTTGTTTGTTATATCAAAATCAGGACTCCGTTTAACTACATATCATAGGTACAGTATGTAATTTCTGGAGGCAGAAGAATGCATTGGAGCTTATTTAGGCATGTCACAGCAAAAGGGATGAAATCTTATACAACCATTAAGTGTTGGTTTAGTTTGCCTACTTAAATTTTGTCCTACAGTGAAAAACAATATTTTGCATGTACACAGTGGGGCTGTTCTCACAGAACACAAATGGTTACTGTGCAGTTACCTCTTTTACCTTGTGTCCTGTGTTCAATCATTTGCAAGGTAACTTCTTCTGAGTATTCTTGGTGCACCTCCATCTTCCCTCCAAATGGCAGCACACATCCCATCAGCCCACGTTGCTGGGGAACTAAATCCAGCAGATGCCATTCTTACCTGGACTGCCTGCCTCTTCCCCACTGGCCTGCATGGGTATGTTCTCAGCTGGTCACCACTTCCCCCAACTCCACCACAGAACCACTGTCTACTCATGAAAGTACACAGTGACTTTGTGGAGCCCCTGCCTAGAATAGCACAGCTGCTCCAAGATCACTGCTCCCTGTCCTTCCCCAGTGTGTGCTCCCCAGTGCCTGGCCATGTAATGGCAAGGCCACCAGGCATAAGGGAATGCGAGGAAGGAGGACATGGAGTGCAGGGGCACCCTGTCTGCTGCCAACTCAGTGGCTGCTAGTCGAACAGGGCAGGGAAAAATGGTGACTGGAGCAGCTGACCTTGCTGCCAAGTTCATGGATCAAAATAGGGAAACCATGGAAAAGCATTGTAACAAGATTCATGCACAATGGGAAGCAATGCGGTAACACTGAAACCTTACAAACCATTGGTTCTCCATGGTGATTCATGGAAACCAATTGTGTCACGTTTCACCATGCTGCTGGTATTCACACTCCAGCCATGGCCGGAGTGGCACAATGATCAGCCACTCCTGCCATGGCTTGCTGTTATGTGTGAATATAACCAATGTGTATTATCTTGTATGCATCAAGCAGTGACAGTGCCAATTAAATCAATTTCAGTTCCAGGCTATAACACAGCAAAATGTGAAAAAGTTGTTGGGTGAGGGGGAGTACTTCTACAAGGAACTGAATATACTAGTTATTTATTTGGTTTCCAGAAAAGACCAGGAATAAAGACAGGCATTGTCCACTGTAATCACAGCCCAAACTAAAACTATATTTTTAATTAGTTTGGTCTGCTAGTACAACCAATGAGAGAAGTTTCATAAAAATGACCTTGCTTTTGCAAATTTCAAGTAGCTTATGTCCAAATTAATTATTTTCAGGATTGAATTAATAGTCTGAGACCCTTGGAACTTTTGAAAAACACACCCTATAATGTTAAATGAGCTACAGGTTTCTCATGGGAGGCGGAATGAATACAGCAATTCCAGAGGACAGCTAAGCATCTAAAGGAAAAAAAATACTTAAGGGCTTTGCAGGCTCACCTACCTGGTGTAATACAGTTGGAATCAAATCTGGCTTCTGTGGGAAGAGCTTCTCCTTTTTCTAATGCTTTCTTTATTTTGTCCTCGGCTTCCTTTGCTGACCTGTAATATTTCACATTTTAGTACTGTAAAGTATCCCATACATATTATTAAGGGTTAAATTAGCATTTTAAATAGGCAAGAGAGTGAGAGAGAGTGGCTTGCCTAATGTCACTTAGATTACAATCCTAAACTTGCTTACCTGGACAGCAAGCCTTACTGTACTTAATGGGGTTGATTTCTGAGTAGATGTGTACAGATTTCACTTTTACTGAACTGGCATCATGTTATTGGAATACGGGACTTCCTGCCCTGCAACTCACTCTTTCAATACAATCCTATGCATATTTACTTGGAAGGAATTCTCACTGTGTTCAGTGGCACTTACTCACCAGTTTATAACTATTATCCTAGAGTTTCCTACTTCTGAGTAGGAAAGCAGGCGAGTGAGGACAGGGACCCTTAATGCCATTTACGGGAAGGAAAAGACCCGGGGTGGGTACTGCTGCCACTTCCTGAGGATACTTAATGAGCCTTCAAGAAACAGTGGGTGAGCAGCAGCTCACGGTCTCCCATGGGAAAGACAGTGGAAGAACTGAACACCTCCCACATGGTCTTTACAACATTGCTTTCCAACCTTTTTACAGCTGGGGACCAACAAAAATAGGAATATTATTTTGGGGACTGCTGAGGCAGAAATAAAAAGCATTATATACATAATATAGCATTTTGTGCATTAATTTTTAAATATAGTACCAAAAAAGGAAAATTCTCTAAAATAAGCAGAAATTGAGCAGTATAAAAATGCCAATAAAGGAACAAAATATTGAAATTAAATGTAATCTAATGAAACTGTGGAGAGCAACATGTAAGGCTACTGCAAAATCTGCTGTTGCTTCTCTTCAAGAACACTTAATCAAAAATGTACAATAGCAGAATACAAAATCAATATAAATGCACTACTATGTTCATAGCAAATACAAATTCAAATACCATATTAGCAGCAGAGCAATACAAAATCAAACGAAGTTCCTTAATACAGTAATATTCATAATGCTAAATAACGAAATACAATGAACCCCACCCACTCAAACCCCCATACACACCAGCATAGACTGGCTCAGAAAACACTCTTAGCACGATCCCACTTCTGCATTTCCCTTCCCAGGAGAAAATGCGGCAGAGAAGGGAAAAGGCCCAGTCTTCAGGCCCACCCAGAGGGCGGACCTAGTACTGTGCAGCTTGCAGCTGGCTCCTACTGAGCTGCCTCTCCCCTCCCCAGCCTCCTTGGCCAAGGGAGAGGTGGGGAATCAGCAGCTGGTCCTAGTAAGCAAGATGCTGCTGTGTGTGCGAGCATGACAGCGGCTCTTTCACAGACTGGCAGGAAATGCCAGCGGACGGGTGGTTAAAAAACCACTGGCTTACAACATGGCTCTAAGGCACTCAAAGTGCCTTTGGAAAACAGCATCCTATTGCACATATTTGTCTTTTATTTAACATGTGTATTATTTATTTAGATACCATAGTTAAAAATACTTCTAAATGATCCTTCCCCCAAGCAGACATTTTAAAAATAGGCAGAGGAAAGCATTGGATGGTATTTCCCAAAGGCACATGACAGGCATATAGATGAAATGCTGAACATTCTGGTAAGATTCTGGCACATCATCTTAAACAGCAAAAACACTGGAATATTATTTCAGCTATTAAACATGACAGTGATATGCTATATACCTCTCTTATATGTATAAACTCAGTTTTTTAGAAGTTTTATTCTGATTTATATAATATAGATTATAAAATATCAGAGTAGCCATGGATGCCTAATTTTCCCTCCTCATGCTACAATCTTCCACGTATAGATTCCTCATAATAGCAGTTTCTCCCAGCTCCTTTTTTTTTTTTACTAAGGAAATTAGGTAAGCAATCACAAATACGAAAACTGTAGAATTTTTGAAGTGGGTTAATCTTCTATACATCTTCAGCAACTAGAGTTATAACCTATTGTCTCTTTTTGGCTTTCTTTTTACTTGGGAAAGGTACCAAACAGGGATGTCTACTTTCTCCATTGATAAGTGATGTATGATTAGAACCCCTGGTGTCTGTTATTCAACAGACAGCAGTATTCACAACTTTGAGCATTATTATTCAGAATTTATTCTTTATGTTCTTTTATTGCCTACCTTGAAATGCCAGTCACCTGTTCTAACTGATACAGCTGATTAATACTATGGGTGATTTGTCTGGTTATTCAATACAATTTTGATGGTACCCAGATACTCATCAGTAAAATCTAAATAGGTTCCCTCAATGAGATCTCATGGGGTATAGCTAGATAGGCATTTTTAAATCTGAGTTTGTGGGTAAGGTAACTACATTTAAGATAGATATTACATTCTATATTGTTTGTATTATACATAGAATTCCTCTATTTATACCAGGCAAATATTTGTAAAAACCCAACCCTTTAATTTTTGGGGGAGGCACTGCCTCCCCTCCTTTAATTTCATCGAAAAGGATGGAACTTTAAGTGAAAGTTACTTCTACTTTAAGTGAAGGTGGTTTTGACTTCCAAATCTTGTGTTGTATCATTTGGCCTGTTTCTTAAATTTTAACTATTGTTGGTCTTTTTCACTTAAGATTTTCCCCCTGGTCAGCTTTGGAACTTTCCTGGCTGGCTCCTCGCTCCAAACAGACAGCATTAAACTCTCAACACAGTGAATGGATACAGTTCCTCTCAAGGTTATGACTGTTAGGGACAGTGCTGTATAATATCAGTTTTTCCAATTACATTTTGATCCAGACAACAGATGACTTGGCTCACCATGGGTTGTTGCCTCTCCTTCTTTCTAAGTCCTATAGGTTATCTTGGTGGCTTTCCTTTCTCTGTTCTATTTGTGAACCCTTTCGTAACAACCACAGCATATTCCCCCTCTCTTGTTTGTTGAAGATTACTTATCATGATTTCTGATAATTACTGACAGCCCCTCCAAAATCCCTAAGTGGCACACTGGAGGAGTTGTTAGTGCTTCATTATCTTTTTTTTTTTTAATAAAACAGGACATGTGCAAATATTTTGGGGATATTTAACTTTTAAATGGCCAGTATTCTGGAGTTACACAACTCCTTACCTCTTCTCCCTGTTCCAATTCTGAGCTCTTCAAATAGTTGAGCAAATTTCCCGACAATGTATTGGTAAGTGCCTGCTATCAAAGTGAAACAGGTACCAATCAAGAACACTGAACAAGAGAGCCTTAACATAGGTTATTTTGTTACTTTCTGTTCACTTGATCACTGTCAAACAGAGAGCTGTCACAGGAAGCACTACAGCTTTTCTGAAACAAAAGGAGGATTATGAGATGTAATCAACACAATGGCAGAACTGCATGCTACACAGATCAGGGAGTGAAGTAAAAAAAAAAATGGAGCAAGAGTATGCACATACCTAAAACGTCTGCCACGCTGCTGGTTCATTTTTGCTCTTGGAGCTACTCCATCAACTGCCATGAAGAAAACCTTTCTTGGTTTAATAATGCGAAACAATACTTCCAAGTAGTGAAATATATCAGCAAAGATCTTGTCTTCAGAGATTCTGAAGTGAACATCATAATCATTAGGGTGTGAACATTGATGAATTATACCATTCATGTCCAGGTACAAGTTGTCAAATTCTGGAATCTAGGAAACATATTTAGTGTCGTTAATAGTCTGAAAGAAAATTAACAGTTATTCCCATGTCTGATGGTAATAATGTCCTCTATCAACCTCTGCAGTGCTAATTCAGTGTTGTTGCTGCTGATGAAGTTCCATATCTATATCTGAAAAACTAATTTTCTGTTTTATCATCATCTTAGATCCATGACAAATCAGAATGAATTCTAGGACTGGTGTTTAAAAGGCTAGGTGTGAGGAAGGAGGGGCAAACAGTAAAAATGAAAGTGAAACCTTTTGAGCAGAATACTCCCACAAGTTTTTGGATCTTTTTATGTATAGCCAGAGCTTGGTTATATTATTCTTTCCCTGGAGGAGAACATCTTATAATGGCAGCAGGCTGTAAAAGTGACCCAGTTTGGGAATATTTTAATGAATTTTCCTCTATGTACAGGTAAGGCAGGCATGTGTGCAATTTATGGAAAATGAATTAAATCTAGTCTTACTGACTAGTGACTGAAATTGTGATTTAAACTGATTTGATTTAGAACAACTCCACCCTAACAATAGCCCAATGTATGTTATTTAACCTAATATGAGGATACAGTGCACACATGGCATGTGTAGCAGCCCTTTTAATTAGGCAACCCTCCTCAGGGTTTAACCCTTATATAACCCAATGAGTATGGGCTACAACGGGTTAAAAATGGTCACATAATCCATGGTCTGATTTAGGGCTCTTTGTGAGTTGCTTATCTCCTGCATTAAGCAGATAGCTCACCACATTCACACAGCACAACCTAGTGCTTGCAGCCGTGGTAGCTTGTTGTAGATTACTCCATAAATGGCTACAGTTTTTCACCCAAACTCAGAGGTGCAGGCGTCATGTCATATCACAATAAACTGCTACTGTAAGTTGTTTACCTATCAGTTGCTTGTGAAGTACTGCCATTATCAGCACTAGTGCTTTATGAAGTCTTTTAGGAAGAAATGCTCTGCTACTTTTAGAGAGATCTCAAAAAGCTTATAAAACAATGTCTCATGCAGATTGTTCATTTCTGCCACCAATGTTTATAAAATTCCTATTCTGTAACTCTTAATACTTCCAGAGATAACTCCAGCAAACAAATAAAGTACACAAGCCAGTGTCCTTCAGCAATATGTGGTGATGACTGCCTACAAGTTATAACTCTGGCTGATGTGAGGGTGAAGGGTGAATATAAGGGGTGATGACAGTAATTACAATAACTAAGTATGTGTTATCACTTAAACAAATTGATTTGAAACTTATAAAAAGTGTCTGCATAAGCACGCCAACATGGTAAAACCTAGCACACATACTGAGTCAGCCAGGCATAAGTAGCCAGAGGACCAAAGTAGGGCGGCTGCTCTTTCCTACCGTAAGGCAAGTCCTCTGCAGGGAAATGTGCAGATTCCTACCCCAGTAAGTGTGGCTCCAGCACACATGGTGGATACAATGTGTCCAATTCTGACAACTGTGTAACAGTGCATGAAACCAAGAACTATTGCAATCCATGGAAAGCTGAATCTGTTCATAATGTAAAATTAATAAGAACTAATGGAATAATTTCACAGAATTAAAGAAAAAAGTATGATTGTGTACTTTCATTGCTGCAAACTTGTACTGCTGTGCTTCAATGAGAAACCATCACAAATAATGAGGTTACATCAGAAAGGAAACAAATGCATTAAGTACTTCCATACATAGTTATTGTTTGAATATATAACTGTGAGCTTTAAAATAATGTGCCTGGAAGAATTATATAAATCTTATCTTCTTATACATTAATCTAGTTTATTAAAATATGGATGTACCTGTATATTATCATGTAGCCCAGCCGTGGGCACATTTAGATAGCAATGTTTATTGGTCAACCAAAAGATAATTGTAAATATGATACAATGTTTTAAAAAGTTAAAGCAACAAACCAACATTAGAAGATAAATATCAAACCTCTATACTCAAGGGTTCCTGGCCCTTTGGCTATGATGAAAGGTAATGTAGTTAGAAATAAATGCTATCAACTATGCTCCCCTGTGATTCCCAGCAAAGTACATTAACTGTACCTGCAGGTCCTTCTTTTGGAGTGGTAGTTTCTTGACACTAATCCAGAGTAGCTATTCTACATCAGTCTAAGGTAGCAATCAGAACACAATCCTATGCACATTTAGCTTAAAAGAAAGAGTCATAAAAGTGGGAAATTCTGGATCACAAATCCATCAGCAGTCCAGATTTCCACCACCTTCACTCTATTCCCATTGGGTATATTCAAAATAAAGTGCACAACTTAACTGTGGTTTTAACGCTCTATCCTTCAACACTGATTTTATTAAAGATACCATGATAACAGTTAGTAGACATAACCTTTAACTCCTAGGGTAACGTGCGTGATTAACAAAGGGAACAAAACAGGAGTTCAAAATCCACAGCTGAGCAATACCTCTTCAAGAGCAGCCAAAATTCCAGAAAATGAGAAAACTTTTCATCAGGCTACGTGGCACAAAAGGCAAGGCATGGAAGGACATCTTTTACTGGGCCCTTTTCTAGTGCGATGGAAGGACACAGATCGCCCACATAACTTTACGTTGGGCAGAATAAATGAAGGCTAGCGCCACGCAGGTTTCAGGCGACTGCGGACGCGAGCACTTCCACTCCTCCTGCTCGCGGGGCGAGCAAGTGCTTCACACGGACGGGCCGAGCGGCGACGCCGCCCAGAGTTTCGGCGGGTGTCAATAAACGCTCACACAAGTGGCCGGCACGCGTACACGCACAACGCCGCCGCTTCAGCTCCAGCCGCATCCAGGCGGCAGGTCGAGGGACTCACTGCCCGCCGAGGGCCCTCGAGGGAGGAAGGACTGGCGTCCGCCGCGGTCCTCCGGGCGGACCTGCCCGGCGCGCCTGGCCACGCCAGCTGGGAAGCGGAGCGCCAGGTCGCCCCTCTCTTCCCCCGCGGATGTCTGGCGGCGGACCCCCACGGCCGATCCCCCACCGCGGAAGTGGGAGAGAAATCATCCGCAGCCATGTCTTACCTGATGCTCCTTCACTACCTGGCTGAGGCAGGGATACCGCTCCGAGACCCATCGGTAAAACTTCGGCACCCCCATGGCGTCTACTGCAGCTCCCCTCAAGCGCCAGCCCTGCCGAACTCAAGCAACCCACCCGCGCTACCTGCTCTGCCGGTCTGCCTGTCTGACCAAACACTTCCTTCTTCCAAAGGCCTGAGCCAGCCATAGAGTGATTCTCCCCAGAGCGCCCAACCGAGCGTCCAAGGATAAACAAGACGAGCCGCGAGCGCAGCACGCGCACCCTTCTGGAAGATGTGGGAACTGCAAGTGCTGTTGCCGATTAAACTCCCATCTGGCGGGGAAGCGTGTGGGGGTTATTTTCTGTGTTACAGAACTTGCACTGTTGGTTCACCCTTCTTCTCACACTTAGCTTGACTTGTGTATAATTAGCCCCAGCCATTCTGATTGGACCTTGCTCCCCGCAGTATAGTTTTAACACTCTTTTTCATACACACTCATGTAGGGAAGAATATGAAAGAAGTCGATCACATTAACATCCAGAGCATAGCCATTTCTGCAACATTCCAGTTTAACAATGTGCTTGCTTTTGGCAGGGGACCAGCAACTGAAGTGGGAGCAAGAAGGTGTTAACTTTCAAAGAGACTCCCCTGACTTTCACACCTTTCCCATTCTGTTAAAAGCTTTTCGTTTTGGAATTTATTTGGCATGGCCGTAGAATTCGGCTGTTGCAGGGCCTTACTGACGGAACAAGAAAGGGATCTTGGGGTAGTGGTGGACAGCTCAATGAAAATATCCCCCCCCCGCCCCCATGCTCAGCTGCTGTGAAGAAGGCAAACTGCATAGTAGGCATGATTAGGAAGAGAATATAAAATGAAACTGCCAAAATCTTACTTCCCATATAGAAACCTTTGGTGCAACTGCACATGCAAATATTGTGTTCAGTGCTGGTTGACTTACCTGAAAAAGGAAATTACAGAGTTGGAAACAGTACAGAGAAGGGCAATAAATATGATCAAGGGGTAGGAGCAGATTGGCTAGGAGGAGGGCTCCAAAGCTAGGACTGTTCAGCTTAGAAAAATGGTGAGAAAGGGAGACATGATGCAGGTGTTTAAAATAATACATGGTGTAGAGACAAGACATTTTTCTCCCTCTCCTGGAACACTCAAAAATCTAAAGAGAAGGGAAACAGAAGGCTGGAGCAATTCCCGTTTGAAAAGCAATTATGGCAACTGGGACTTTTCAGCTTAGAAAAAAGGCAAGTAAAAGGGAGACATGAGAGAGGTGTTTAAAATAATGCATGGTGTGGAGAAAGTGGAGAGGGAGACATTTTCTCCCTCTCCCATAACCCTAGAACCTGGGGTCATCTCATGAGGCTCACTGGTGGGAGGTTTAGGACACACAAATGGAAGAACTTCCTCACACATTGTATAGTTAAGCTATTGAATTTGCTGCCACAGAAAGTGGTGATGACTGTCAATTTATTTATTTATTTAAAACATTTCTATGCCACCCCCATCGCAACAAAGCCTCGGGGCAGCTCACAACATAATTATAAACATATAAATAATACTAAATGCAATAAAGATTAAAAAGCCCAGTAACATCTCGGCTAAGAATTTAAAATCCTATAAATATATAATAAATTAACAATTAAAATAAGATTTAAATAAAAAGGTCTTAGCCTGGCGCCAAAAAACAAATAACGACGGCACCAGGAGGACCTCTCTGGGGAGCGCATTCCATAGGTGGGGCGCCACCGCAGAGAAAGCCCTCCTTCGAGTACCTACCCTCCTAATTTCTTTCACGGAGGGTTCCCGGAGAAGGGCATCTGTTGCCGATCTCAAGGGGCGGGAGGTCATATATGGATGCAAGTGTTCCTTTAGATAACCAGGTCCCAAGTTGTTGAGGGCTTTATAGGTCATAACCAACACCTTGAATTGGGTCCGGACTTCAATCGGGAGCCAGTGAAGCTGAAGGAGAACTGGGGTTATATGAGAACAATGCCCAGTCCCCGTCAGCAACCTGGCAGCTCTATTCTGCTCCAATTGAAGTATCTGCACCATCTTATTTATTTATTTATTTAGAAAATTTCTATGCCGCTGCATTCGCCGAAGCCTCGGGGCAGCTCACAAATATATCAATTAAAATATTATACAATAAAAATATAAAACAAGTTAACAATATAAAATAAGTTGCCCCGGCTGAAGAATAAAATAAATAAATAGTATTAACAGTTAAAATGATGTTTGAATAAAAAGGTCTTCGCCTGGCGCCGAAAAACAAATAACGACGGCGCCAGGCGGCCCTCTCTGGGGAGCGCATTCCATAGATTTGGTGCCACTGCAGAAAAAGCCCTCCTCCGAGTACTTACCCTCCTAATTTCCTTCACGGAAGGTTCCCGGAGAAGGTCTCCCACAGATCTCAGGGGGCGGGTGGGCATATATGGACGTAAGCGCTCCTTCAGGTAACCAGGACCCAAGCCGTTAAGGGCTTTATAGGTCATCACCAACACCTTGAATTGGGCCCGGACTTCAATGGGAAGCCAGTGAAGCTGACGGAGGACTGGAGTCATGTGAACATAACGCCCAGTCCCCGTCAGCAGCCTGGCAGCTCTATTTTGAACCAATTGAAGTATCCGGACTGTCTTCAAGAGTAGCCCCACGTAGAGCGCGTTGCAGAAATCTAATCGGGAAGTCACCAACGCGTGTGTCACTGTTGCCAGGCAGTCGTACTCCAGGTAGGGGCGCAGCTGATGGATCAGCCGAAGCTGAAGGAAAACTCTCCTCACCACTGCTGTCACCTGAGCTTCCAATGAAAGCTCTGGGTCGAGGAGCACTCCCAAGCTGCGGACCCTGTCCCTAAGAGGGAGTGCAACCCCATTCAGGACTAGGTTCAATTCACCCTCACCGAAGCCTGAACCACCTACCAATAGGACCTCCGTCCTGTCTGGATTGAGCTTCAGTTTATTGGCCCTCATCCAGCCCATTACCTCGGGCAGGCACCAGTTCAGTACAGCCACTGCCTCACCTGGATTAGTGGAAAACGAGAGGTAGAGCTGGATATCATCAGCGTACTGATGATTCCGCAGCCCACACCTCCTAATGACCTCTCCCAGTGGTTTCATGTAGATGTTAAATAGCAAGGGGGACAAAATGGACCCCTGCGGAACTCCATGGCATAACTGCCATGGCGCAGAGCCATAGTCCCCCAGCACCACCTTCTGGAATTGGCCATTGAGATAGGAGCAGAGCCACCGCAACGCGGTGCCTCCAACTCCCAATCCCACTAGCCTATCCAGAAGGATACCATGATCGATGGTATCGAAAGCCGCTGAGAGGTGCAGGAGAACTAACAGGGACGCACTCCCCCTGTCTCTCTCCCTGCACAGGTCATCGTACAGGGCAACCAAGGCAGATTCAGTACCGTACCCGGGTCTGAAGCCGGACTGAAATGGGTCCAGATAATCAGTTTCATCCAAGAGTGCCTGGCGTTGTCTCGCCACCACCCACTCTAGCACCTTGCCCAAGAACGGGATGTTGGCCACCGGTCTATAATTGGCGGCCATCTCTGGATCCAGAGATGCCTTCTTTAGGACTGGCCGGACTACCACCTCCTTTAAAGGGGCAAGTACCTGGCCGTCTCTTAAAGAGACGTTGATCACCTCCAGGATCCAGGTCCCAATCCTGTCCTTGGCTTTCTTGAGTAGCCAAGATGGGCAGGGGTCCAGTAAGCAGGTGGTAGGATGTATTTGTCCAAGCACCTTGTCCACATCATCAGGCCACAGCAACTGAAATTCATCCATTAATTGTGGACTCGACGGCGTCATTGGCACCTCCCCAGTAGAATCTGATTCAATAGTAGAGTCAAGCTCGTGACGAATCTGAGTGATTTTCTCCCTGAAATGCTTGGCAAAGTCATCACAGCAGGCCTTTGAGGGTGGCATGGGATCTCTCTTTGGGCCCGGATGTACCAGCCCCTGCACCATCCGAAAGAGCTCTGCTGGACGGCATTGTGAGGAGGCAATGGAAACGGAGAAAAATTTCTTCTTCGCTGCCCTCACCACCACAGCATAGGCCCGATAGTGGGCTTTTAAGTGTGTTTGGTCAGATTCATCCCGTGATCTCCTCCACCTACGCTCTAGCCGTCTCCCAACCTGCTTCATCACCCGTAATTCATATGTGTACCAAGGAGATGAATGGGCTCTGCCAGGTGGGAGAGGACACTTGGGAGTGATCGTGTCAATAGCCCTGGTCATCTCCCCATTCCATAGTTCAACCAAGGCATCGACAGGAGCATCAATCTGGATGGTAATAAAAACAGAATGGATAGATTCATGGGGAAGGCTCTTTGTGGCTTGCTGGCTATGTGCTGTTTGAGCAGGGGTGTCATGCAGCAGTTGCTGAGTAGTTTGCACAGAAGGGAATCTTGCATCCATCCTGTATGAGGGATCCTGTAGACAGCTGGTTTGCCACTGTGTGCACAAAGTGCTAGGCTAGATGGACCTTTAGTCTGATCCAGCATGGTTTTTATGCTCTTATTCTTTTTTTTTAACAAATTCGTCAATTGAAAAAAAAATCTTCCTCTGCTGCTTTGTTTGAACTTGCCAGAATTTCAAAGTAAGGCTGCCTAAGCTTTCTTATTTTCACATCCATTTTCTTCCTGTAAGGTTTCTTCACTGTCCAGTTTTCACACCCCTGCATGGTGGTTGGGAACACAATATAATGCACAATCTTGCCTTTGGACTCCAGTGAAATATCCTTATATTTGATTATGTTTTCTATTTACTTCAACTGCTGCCCTTTCAAGTCTATCATCTTCTTTGAAATTCTTGGCTGCAGTTTCTATCTGAATTCATGACTGAGCCGAGGTATGTAAAATCTTTCACAATTTCAAATTCTTCATTGTTGACAGTAAAATTCTGTAATTCTTCTGTAGTCATGATTTTTGGTTTCTTAATATTCAGCTGCAGTCCTGCTTTTTTGCACTTTCTTCTTTAACTTTCATCAGGAGTTGTTTCAATTCATGAATGCTTTCTTTCAGTAGTACAGTGGCTTCTGCATATCTTAAATTACTGATGGTTCTTGTGCCAATTTTTACTCCTGCTTCCTCTCATCCTAATCCAGCGTTCCTTATGGTATGCTCAAAACAAAATACAGCCTTGTCTGACACCTTTGCCTAAAGGAAATGATTCTGTTTCACAAATTTCTGTCCTAACAGTAGCATCTGGGCCATGATACTAGTTACACATTAGGCCAGGGGTCTCAAACTCAACTTACCTGGGGGCCGCTGGAAGTAGAGCTTGGGTGAGGCTGGGCCGCATCAAGTATTCCACCACCACGGTGGTGGTGGGCCGCTCATCCCGTGGTCGGCCCTGGTGCCGCCAGTGCTTTGAAGGCCGCAGGGCCCCTCCCCTGTGCCCCGCCCGTCCCGGCAATTGGCCCGCGGGCCGCGAGTTTGAGACCCCTGCATTAGGCCAATCAAGTTCTGTGGCACACTGATTTCTTTCAGGACCATCCATAGCTCTTCATGATCCACAAAGTCAAAGGCAATGTTCTAGTCAATAAAGCATGAACTCTTCTGACATTCTTTGGTGTGGTCCAGTAGCCAATGTACATTTGCTACAAGATCTCTAGTTCCTCTTCCTTTTTGGAATCTAGTTTGAACATCAGGTATTTCTTGCTCCATGGAGGGTAATATTCTTGTTAAAACACCTTGAGCATCACTTTGCTTGCACGGGAAATTAGAGCAATGGTCCTATAGTTGCTGCACTCTTTTGCATTTTATATATTGAACATTTCTAGTCTGTGGGCCATTGTTTGTTTCCCATATTTGTTGGCATATCCTTTCTAAGATTTGGACAGATCTAGTCTCTGCAACTTGGAATAGTTCTGTTGGTATCCTATCTACTCTGGGTGCTTTGTTCTTTCAAAGTGCTTTTAGAGCTTATTTGCCTTCACATTCTAATACTGCCTGATATCTTTTATATTTTCTGTACAGTTCTGTATATTCTTTCCACCTTCTCTTTACTTTTTCCTGGTCATATAGTGTGCCCCCTTATTTTTACCATTTCTAATCTAGGTTTGAATTTTCCCATGATTTCTTGGATCTTCTGGAATAAGTATCTTGTTTTCTTCTATTTCTTTAACTGGCCATAGCAATAGTTCTTTTTGCCCATATGTGACAGTCTCTGAAAAGTTGCATTCTGTATTCTAATCCTATTTCTTTCAGCATTTGCTTCTTGCATATCTTTAGCAACTGTTAAGTATTCTTCTGTCATTCATCTAGGCTTTTTCGTTTGTTCTTGTTCCTATAGGAATAGTCTTTTTGCATTCTTCCTTTAAAATGTCTCTCATTGCAGTCTTCTGAGTTTTTTATTTCCAGAGTAAAACAATGTTTTTCTTATTGAAAATGCTACGTTCCAGTCCACTTAGTTTGCTCAAACCAAGTAGTGCAATGTTTAGCTGTTCCATTTCTTGCTTTATGGTTTCCAGTTTGCCTTGGTTCATACTTCTTACATTCCATATTCCAATTGTATGTGTTGTGCAGCATTAGACTTTCTTTAAAACTCCAAGTTCTTTAACAGGTTGAAGGAAGTAACTCAGTGATTGAAGAACAGAGAGGCAAACAACCAAGCCATGAAGCCTGTCTGAAGGAATGTGGAGGGGAGAAAAAGATAATTGACTCGAAAGTTTGCTACTTCCTATCTCATCCTCCCAGTAGTTTTATGAGATAGGGGGTCACAGGGCAAGGTGAAGTTTGAGAGGAGTAAACTAGTGAACTTGTAGTTATAAGCACGCAGGTGTAATAGATTGATGAATATTAACTCACACACCTTGAATAGACAATGGGCTAATCATAATGCACATGTGATGTATGTAGTGGGATGAGATAGGAGATATGTAGTAGGTGGATGGAAAAACTGTAACCTCCTAGCACCTTACCCAATGAGGGGAAAGGGGAGGACTGTGGCAGATGGGTTGAGGGGTAAAAGGAGCTGTTTTGGGTGTTTGTACTTTGGAGAGACGCTGACAGGCTCTCCACATCTATTGCAATAAATGAAGAAATTGCCACGCTCTGTTGGTAGTTTTGGTTATTTAACTTGAGGAAAGTATTTTCGCAGCTTTTTGCATAACCAGGTTATCTGCATTGTGGCCCACATTTGAAATTAATCTTATTTATATCTAATGATTAAGAAGCACTAACTGAAGCAGCAATGCCAGTAGTGAACTTTTCACTATCATTTTAAGATATGAAGGATTTTAAATACAAAAAACAGAAATATAGTGCACCAAGCAGCTCATATGCTTTATTCAAATATTAAAACAAATGTGTTAATTCAAATATTGATATAAAATGACTTTTCAAATATACAAGTGAAAATGCTATAAACAAAGGCACGGACATCTGAAGGCCCACATTGGCAGAAATTGTGAAAGCAAAAACCGTAGGAACTGTTAAAATAGTTTTTTTCCCCAAAATGCAACATTTTTTAAAAAAAAATCAGTTATAGAAGGTAATCTACAAATGGTGACATTTCACAAATACGGAGCCCAGCCAAGGTACATCTGGCACAGCAAATTCTCATCAGTTGCATCTTGAATAAGATGGTGAACATGTCCTTCAATTGACAAAGGTAGGCCCTTCACTCTATTCCGGTTTTTAATAACACCTTGCAGTCGCTGTTCTATATCCAGGACATGGGTTTTGGCCTGAAAGAAACAATTAATAGTTGAGATGACATTAATATATTAAAAGTAATAGGAACATATGCAAACGTATATACATAAGATGTGGCAGACTAGTTGATCAGAACTTGAAGAGGTACAAACAACCCACACTGAGCCTGAGCATCTGTTGTGTGCACTGTGAATTGTTCACATAATAACAAGATGTTGTGAGTTGAGTTCTCCTTCCAAGCAGTAAGTCTCACCAATGTTTCTTTGCCAAATGTCTTTATTTCACATGTAAGTCTCTGTGCATATACAAAGTGAAATGCTGAACCCTCTCTGGAATTCTTCACTCAAAGCTGTCCTTATGAATCCTTCTACATCTGTGCCTGGAGGGATGAGTGCTGTGGAAATGGGCATGCCTGCACTCTTCCCTTACAGATCCCACTTGGGCCACCCTACAACTGTGGTGATGGACTATTGGGTCCATTTCCTCAGGAGGCTGGATTTCCATATCTGATAGACTCCCCATTTCTAAATCCCCCCACCCCCAGATGTTGTTGCTGTTCCCTGTTTGTTCCCACAGGCAGGTTGACTGGTTCCTCGGCTGCCCCTGAACTAATTTCTCCCATAACAGGCACACGCAGGTACCCAGGGCCTTGGACTGCAGCTGGAACTGGATCCTTTTCAACAATCATCTCATTATCAGAGTCTGAACTGTCAGTCCTGCTGGGATAGGCCAACCCACACATCTCAGTCTCAGACTCTTGAGCTTTCAGTCCAGCCAAAACTGCAAGCCTCTTGTTCATGCCCCCTGAAGTATGCCAGAACGTGCATGCACAAATCCACTGTGGCATATTGCTTGGGTGAGTTGGTGTGATGCTTGAATGTGCTCGTTGGTTTGCTTAGGATGGTTCATTGTGATATCTGAACTGGGCAGTGCAGCTTGTGCTTGACTTGCTGGAGAGGGCTACAGAACCACCTGACGATATCAATAAAAAGCCCAGTTGATCCTTACTGATATCCCCTCTCTATTCTGTCTTGAAATAATGCTAGTCAATATACTCCTTCACCTCCCCTTTAGGTCAAAATGTGTTTGGTATTGGTTATATTTAATAGAATTATTGCATAATAAACTGCTCAGAGCCTATGGGAATGGGGCTCTATATAAAATCAAATAAAAATACGAAATAATATTGTAACACTTTTTATAACTGAATACTGAAGCTTGCATAGATAAAGTCATTTATTAGATCTATTGGAGATTATTTATATTTTATCAGTTAGTTTATCCCAACTTGTTTGCTGCTCTGTATTTGTGTTGGATTATATTTTCTTGTTTGTTTGTTTTTACCTCTCAAGATAGCAACATGCTTTTTTTACCTTCAGGAGATTTAATTTACACCAAAGTACCTACACATGCACACTTTTGGGTTATTTACGCAAATTCAATGTAATGAATTAGTTAAATGAACTTCCAGGGGGTTGCATGCTAATTTGCTTAAATGTAGTATGTGCTCTTATGCACAGATGTTTAGGTCCAGGAACTGAATATCTGACAAACAATGGGATCTCTCTCCTGTCCTGTGCCCTTACCTTTTCATTGACAATTTCTCCAGTTTCATTCACCAGGGTTTTTGTATTGCCTCTCACTGGCTTACTCCACTCCACAAGAGGATCATGAAGAAAAGTCTTCAAAACACTAGATAAGATACAAAGAAATGGAAGTTAATTTGAGAAAAAATTAGTTGCAATTAGAGAGTTGAGATAGAAAAGACAAATTATTTTAAAATAGACCTACTTAGCTTCAGCAGCAGAACTGTGCCAGGTACAAATCATTATCTCAAGCTGATCACATCTGAATTAAGATTCAGGCATGCCATTCTATTTTTTGCCTTCAGAATCAGGCAACACTACCCATTCAGTTCAATGTGACCTAATTCTAGACAAATTTGTACTGGGTTGCAGCCTTAAACAGGAGGTAGTGAGGGTCTGGGAGCCATGAGAGAAATTCTGGGCATATCCTCCTTTTCACTGCATGCAACTTCCCCTCCCCCTGCAATCAGACAAGCTGTCTTCGGGTTGGAGCATCCTGGAAAACACTGTAAATTGTGGCATGAGGTCAAAGAACCCTCACACAAACCATGATTAGAAGTACAATTTGGTGCCCGTGTGCACCATGGCTTGTGCCTTATTATCTGAATCCAGTCATCGGGGAGGTTCACATGTCACACTAAGTCACCCACCACATAAGCCATGGTGGGTGGGTCCTTGTGTGAACAAGCCACTGTGTGCCCACCAGATTATTGGGTTCATTGTGGGTTGTTCGCCCTCTCCTTTCCTTTCTGTCCTCCAAAAGGTATCCCAGGAGACTTGGTGGGTGAAGGCCCCATTGTCTCCTCTCCCCACTGTGAACATGAGCACTCTTTTGCTTCTTTCTACCTCTTTATTCCTTCTTTTAAGGAAACAGCATTCTCTGAATTAATGGTCAATCCAAAGAGCCCAAACAGAACATTAGAGGGGCTGTCCCCTTATTTTTGGTCACCTATCTGCTGATTTGACAGCTGTCAAGGTAAAGCAAAGTATAAAAAACCTTATTTGGAACTTCTCCAGACTTGACAACTGCTGCACTTTGATGGTTTCCTACTTTTAGACCAATGGAATTGAGCACTTTTGTAGTTGCACAATTCCTGCTAAAAATATAATTGAAAAGGTTATGATATAATTTGTGCAGGTTTTGGCTGTCATTTTTTCTTTTTCTTTTTAAAGGTGGCCAATCAGCATCATTCCCACTGGGGCTGCCAGGGGCTTCCACTGGCAATGGCATTAAAAAGAGAACCGAGTGTTTTTTTGCTGCTCTTGCTCAGTGCCTCATTCACTGCTTTACACAACTCACAGTAGGAATGCTCACCAAGATTGGGAAATATGGCAACCTATTGCAGTTTAAATAACGGACTCATGGGTTCTCTTAGAAAAACAAGCCACTATGTGGGAAATAATCTGGGCTCACATGACACAATAACTCAATGTGGCTAGTCATTCAGAATGGATTGCCACTGTTGTGAGAACCAGGTAATTTGATTCAAAGGTGGGTGCAGAGGCAGAAGAAAATAACAAACTGCAATGACACCTATTCATTATTAAAACTATATTTCATGAAGTGTGGTATGACTGCAACAATCCCAATTTCAGAGTTCCTTTCTTATGCTAAGTTAGAACCTTAAGGAATCAAACTTAATTATTTTCCCCATGTTCATCACCAAGGTCCAGTATGTACCCAACTACTGTTCTATTGCAGTGATGTCATCAGTGTGTTGAGCTACTTCTATACCTAGTGATTGCACCTCTACGTACTGTAGTGTTAGCATTTTTCACTAGGTAAGGAATTTGCAGTGGTTTAGAAGAGCTGTATTGTAAAGCTGAATAATATATAAAATTCCCACATAAACAAACTTCGAGATAAAGGTTGATACCTCATTAGTGGCTCTCTTTGGTCACGCATAAGTCTAAGTGTAACTTCGCAAGCTCTTCGAAAGAGACCTTCTGTCCCCATTGGACCCATCCCATTGACCATGTTATGAGTAAGACGAAATGGAACAATCTCCGGAAAATCAAAAGTTTCTCCCTTCAAATAAATAAGTAAGTAAAGGTTTCGTTATGGAATTTCATAATATTTTGGTTCCTTCATAGTGGAAATTAATAAACTTTTGTATAAATGTACTTTTGTTATTTAAACAAAGCTTAACCAAACGACAGTGCTATAAAAAGAGCAACCTGTTATATTACAATTAATAATAGCTGTTTTGAAGAATGATGTATTTAGTATGTTTTTTCTGAACTACCTTTACATAAAGATATATTTGCATACAATATATATAAAAGCAGTTTAACCATAATGTGACAGTGATTTTTGCTAACAATTCATTTGTCTCCACATGCCAAAAGGAAAAGAAAAAGTGTTTGCAAAGGCTGAACGTTGAGCTTTTATTGAAAAATTAAAAGAATGCTTTAAATAGGCACCATTTTAGCACCTTCACAATTTCAAATGTCATTATTTAGGTTATCAAACATTCAACAGCAAACACAATATTTGCATGAGTTCTTTTAAAGAAGCTAATATAATTTGAAAATGATTTTAATTAAAAGAAGAGATAATAAGATAAACATCTAGCTTCTCACCTTATTAAACAGACAGTTGAAATCCACATGCACACAATCACCTGTTAAGGAATCAAACAGGATATTTTCCCCATGGCGGTCTCCAAGGCCCAGTATGTATCCAACCATTGACATTACAGCAGTGGAACGACAATATGCTGATCTGCTGCTGTACCTAGAAAAAAAATACAATTGGCTTCTAAATTCACCTCTGAAACAACTTTAAGGGAAATTTAAGTTTCTGCATATAAGTAAAAACCTGCACAATTCATTCTCCAAGTCAAAAAGGCCCCTCAAGGTATCTGTGTTCACCATAGGAAAAGATCCAAAATCTTTATTAATGTAATACCTTCATCAAGCCAACCAATCTTTTTTTTAAGATCACAAAAACTGTGCAAGCTTCTGAAACCTACAGATCGCTACATATTACAAAAAATGGGTTTGGCTGGGAAGGAGGAAAGGATTTTGGCATAATGATAATAGATGCTTTGTCTTCATAGTTTTTGTTACATTAAATTGAATTTTCTTTTAAACATTGGACATTGCAGCAATGTAATTACCACATCATGTGGCAAACAAAACAAACAAGAACTGACCATGAAGTAGGATCAGGGAATGTTCTCAGAAACCATTCATGAAAAATTGGAGGGTGGCGGGGAAGTAAAGTTTCTTTGTAAACTTTCAGCTTCTCTGGTAAAGGTGTCATCTTTGGAAGCATATATTGCCGCAGTTCATTCCCAGTCATGTAAATGCCTATAAGAGAAGAATCAATTATACATTACACTAGTCCCTACTATCAAACAAGTCTGGTTTGGATAGGAAATTAGGGAAATAGCATTTATTTACACCATGGTGACTTGTTCTGAATGTACAAGACCAGTTCATATTATGCTTGGGGGTGGGGGAGCTCTTTGAGCCATCTTTGTCACTTGGAGCCCAGTTGGCTTCAGTGACTCAGAGTTTGACTAGTGGCCTAGTTGTACCTGTGTCCGGACAGAGACAGCATGCTGTCAGTAATCTATGCTCTGGTAATCTCTAAACTAGATTACTGTAATGTGTTCTATGTGAGCTACCCTTGCAGACTGCCAGGAAGCTGCAGCTTGTGCAAAATGCAGAGATCAGACTAATAATAAGAACCAGGAAGTCTGAGCAAATAACACCAATTCCAGCCTGCTTGAACTGGCTATCTGCTTATGAGCCCAATTCAAGGTGCTCATTTTAACCTATAAAGCCCTATATGGCTTGGGACCACAATACTTGACAGAATGCCTCTCCCAGCCACAATGTATCTGAACACTACAATCAAGCCCTGGAGCCTGCCTCTGACTGCCACCTTCAAGGGAGGCTCAGCTGGTGGCAACAAGAAGTACCTTTCCAGCACTGGCCCCTCATTTTTGGAACAAGCTCCCACTGAGGGCCACCAGGCACCAATCTCACTATTAATTTAATGGGGCTTTTCAGTTGTTTAATCAGGTTTTATCATGTTTCAAGTTATTGGAACTTTATATGTGTTTTAAATGTGGGTTTTATTTTTATATGGCAAATTTCCCCCCCCAGTGCCTTTGTAATGTGGTGTATTTTACCCTGTATTTTAATGGATTGTTGTGAACTGTCTGGAGTGCTTTGGCTATGGGGTAGTATGGAAGTTAAATAAATAATTTTTAATAAGTAAACAATAATTTAAAAATAAGCTAGCACTATAGAGCTAAGGGAGTCAGTCATTACTGGTTTAATGTACTAACCATCACTGCTTCTACAGTGGCATGCAAGAAGCAACTGGACAGTCATCTGAGAGTCCTCTGTCCCCTTCCAATTCTATTCTCCTGTGATTCTATGAAGCCTAGCAAGGGATACAAAATGCTGCACTCTGAAGGGTTTCACAACATCCCACTTTCCTGTTCCATATCTTCTGTTCTCACCCACACACAACTTTCTCCATTTAGAACATGTTTTCTTTTAAAAAATAAATTTAACAGGATTTTTCTTACCTTTCTCCTTATATAATTTGTTCAGGATGTTTCTTAAGCCAGCAGTGTTATTCACCCATTCAATTATTCCACATTCCTCATTCAGAGGAATAACAGCATAGGTCCGGATGCGTAGTTCTCTCCTTCGTGATTCTGCATCTTTTCTTAAGCACTATGAGAAAAACACATCACCAGACATAAGACTATTATAATTTAATTCCTCTATCAATTTTCTCCCTCATACAAATTGAAGTTCAGCCTTGAATTTCTACAGACTGAGTACATAATACACACCTTGCTCTCTTCATTTTTTAGGAAAGGGATCTCTTATAGAGAAAATAGAGTTAAAGAGACAGAAGCTGTGATCCATAATCCATTCTTATTATTACCATTGTTGTTGTCCTTCTTCCTATTGTTATTACCACTCCCACCCCCACCAAAAAGTACTTATATATTACTTTCCTGTCTACCAAGGTCTTCAAAGATAGATAGAAAGATATATAGAGAGATATGACACATTCTTCAAAACCAGCCTAAAAGGAGTATTAATATACATCACAGGTACAGGGAAACACTGCCTGTTTTACTGCCTGTCTAAAACTGAATAAAGATGAAGCCAACTTGATCTTACTAGGAAAGAAGTTCTATGGTCAGGATGCTAATTACAGAAGAGGTCTTGCCTCAGGTACCCACCAGTCTAGTTTCTCTTAGCCGAGGGACATAGAACAAGAGAGGCCATGTGGGCTCCTTTAATGTGTAAAGCCTCATGTGGGACTTTAAAGAACCAAACTGCAATTCCCATGTTATGAAACTTAGCTGAGCTGCTGTTTGGAGCCAACAACCCTTGATTTAAATAACCCATGGGTTTTTACAATGTCTGAACTGAGCCATACAAACACCCTGTAAGGATGAAAGGGTTTAGTGGACTCCCAACATCCAGAATTTCAACAAACAGAAGAGTGAAGGAACCTTATTTATTAGGGAGTTGAACTCCATAAGTCGACAGTCTTTCCTTAGGTCATCTTTTGGCTTGCACATCATAATATAGGACTTTCCATCAGAACCTTTTAAGGTAATCTTCTTTGGTTTTTGAAGAGATGGAAGAATTTCAACCTAGAGGAAGAGACAGGAACAAGTACTTTTTTTACTCTTTTTAATACATACTTGCATCCCTTTGTGTGTTTACAACAAATTTACAACAAATCCATACAATCTCAAAACTCGACATCAAGGGTTTATAATGTTATACAAAAAGCTCCTCAAAGATTTAGCTTGTGCCCTTCTCCACTTTTAAAATACTTATTTTTCCTTTATTAATTCACTTCTGCAGGCAAACAAATAAACCTTATGTTCGACAGCAAAATTGTGGGTCAATATGTAAAGGTGTAACATGTTGAGTAAGAACCAATAGATACTAACTGTGTCACCAAAGCCAGCAATATAAGCCCAACATCCAGGAAAGGGATCATGGTTGGAATGTGTGCCAGGAACCGAAGGAAGAGTTGGTATCATTAGAGACTGAAGAGGAATAAGGATCTCACTAAAGGTCTGCTCTTCTACCAGCTTCTTGAGACTTTTGAAATGAATACCCATGCTTAATGTGGAGGAGTTTCCATCTACCTGGAAAAATATATGAAATACTATGAAACAACAATAAAAAAAATTTAGACGGACTGAGCTTCAGCCTACAATATAAATTCAGGGTATCAGAGATAGTCTGAATTTAATAAGAAAATTGAAGGTATGCTTCTGGGAAAAAATCTGAGTTAGAACCATATAGCATATCTTTTCACTGACTTCTTAATACCAACATGTGCCACATGCTGGTATTAGCACCTGTTTCATGTTTCTTTGTAAAGAAAAGGTGTCCTGTCTGGGGAATGGGGAAATATTTAAGACAATCCACCTTCCCCACTTGTAGTCTGTTTGAAGGATGGGTGATACTAGAGGATACAGGTGAGGAGGTGGTGGTGGGGGGGGGGAATTGACTGAAACTGCTCTTCTCCATGTTCTGATAACTGATGCCTGTGGCCAATACAGCACACTAGTTGGTTATCACTGCAAGAGTCTGAAAAGGTTACCACTGAAAATCCTTGTCATATTTTGATGGACCTATTTTTGCTGGGTTAAATCTACAGGAAGTCAATCATGCCATAGTTTGATTGAAATCAATGGGACCTAAGGCAGTAATTGCTAATTTGACCCATTGAGTTCAATGCGAGTAAAATGTGACTAAGTTAGTCTGGATCCAACACTTCTGCCTTGGTCATTTAAACCACAACAAGACACAGTGCCTGCTCCTGGGTGTCAGGTTGCCTATTCAGGCCCTTGCTGCAGCATCCTTCTCTAAAACCAGGAAAGAGTGACTATTTGAGGGTTAAATGACACTTAAATAACCCTCAAATAATCCACGGGCTTGTGTAGATTTATTTGAGGATTGTTTAACCTTCAAACCATCCTGCTGCTCAGACTTAGACACAACAAACCATGGCAACCCCAAGCCAGGTGTCACATATTGGAAATGGCTGCCTGCTGTACAACCATCAGCCCATACAGTGATTGTTTATTATCCCAATTAACAAATAGATATTTAAGAGAGAAGAACACAATAGAATTGATACTTTGCTTCCATAAATTTGGTGCCAAACAAGAAAAGTAAGAGCTTTTACATAGTACAAAAATTACCACTTTGTTACACAGCTCTAGCAGTTTATCTGTGAGACGAGCTGCATCTCCAATAAACTTTCCCAAAGATGCCTTCATATGAATGGCTTTGTTGAAGATTTCCTTGCATCTGTTTACACGCATTGGATAGGAAGACTGCAAACAAATAAACAATCAAGTTATTTATAGCTTATCCATAAAGCCTTTCAGAATCAAAATTTCCAGAACACTTTACTGTTCTAAAAATCAACAGCAAAGGAATATGGGCAGTAAATGAATAGGAAAGTGGAGATAAGATGGGGTCTGCTATGAAGGACTCTGGAATACTGGTTGGACGACCAAGGGGGAAAACAAGCCAGCATAAGCTCAATCATCTGTTCGGTATACTGTGGATTGTTCCTGAACAAGCCACGCTGTGTCATCTATTCAAAGAATGCTTAGCAGGTTGTGAAAATGAGTACTGTTATATTATTAGGGGATGTTATGTCATTCTTGACCATCTCCCTGACCCAATTACCTTGGATGCAAATAAAACCTGCTGTATATATTATACATTTCAAATAAGTGGGCAGGTCCACATGTGCAAAATTATTTGTGCTTATAACTTAGATCTGAATTGTGTGTGTTTTCTTCTGAAGGGAAAAACAAGCCAGCTAAAAGGGAAATGCTAATATATCTGTGACATTACCTTAGATACAGCAGTCATCATCCACATAGCTTGTTGAGGATAGGCTACAAAAACCTTGGCAATGACTTCCATGAGAACCGCAAAGACTTCATCATGGGAGTGGCAGATACGGGAGATCAACTGAGAGAAAGCTGTCAGAAACTGGTAAGGCGCCAATAGCTGCGCATGCTCTGCAATTGCCTTGTTGATTTTAGCCAAGTCATTTTTCATTTGTACACGATCATGGCGACTAGCTAGACAACACAATGCACAACAAGAACATCTTATTTCACTGAAGTATGAAAAGCACTCCTGTGCATAATTCTAAAGCAATGGAACTCCAGACAAATTTTCATTGGCTGTTAGGTTTTTTTTTAAAGTACAGGGTCATTGTCAGCTTGCTTCTGGCCTCTCCAGGGTCCAACTTTTATAAAGGAGCACCAATTTCTGTACTCTAAAGTTCTGGAAGTAGCAAGAAGTCAGCTTCTCATGTTGCCCTAACTTTATATACTTAAACACAGGTCAACTTGTTTTTAATATTATTTGCAGAAAAACTTCCCTGGGATAGCAAAATTAGCAAACATGATGTCAGGGGCTTGTCATTCCAAAATTTTAATCCCATCTGAATACAAACGATAAGGTATAAAATTATCTGTTTTTATATGTGTTTTTTCTCCAGAATTTGAATAAAGTTCCAGAAAACCATCTACTTTTCTACTTTGCCAACTAACAAGAACACAATTTGTATTGATGTGGTTTCTGGTGGGAATGTAGTATGCTTCAGTCGTCCCTCATTGGTAAAGCATCCCTGAAGATCTTGTGGTCACGACACATTTTCATAATCTCTTCCAACCGGAGAATTAGTTAACAGCTTGATTCTAATCACACTACAGCATTCTTTATACCATGATAATATCTGAACAGAGAAATGGTTGTAATGTTTTCATTTGCTCAGACCAATTTAGTGTCTGCAATTCAGCCAAACCACTGAAGTGCTATTCAAGTAGGTGAAAGGTTAAATAAGACAGATCTATATTAATTTTACAGGAATATTTTTCTTTGCATATACCAATAGATGAATACTTTAGGAGGCAGCATATAGCCATTAAGACTAGTAGTTTTTGATAGTTTGAAACCTCCATGAATTTGTTCAATTGCCCTTTAAAGCTATTCAGATTGGTGGCCATTACTTCCAGTGATAGTTTTGGCTCACTAAAGTATCTGTAATGCACACATTCTGATTGTGAGGTTTTTATATAAAAACCAACAACCTCTTTCCAGGGCTAAGTCAGGTCTATTAGCTTCATATTCTAGGCCATCCTTCTCCAAGTTGGTGCCCTCCAAGCATATTGAACTACAGTTCCCATTGGCCATGCTGAATGAGATTTATGGTATTTATACTCCAGCATATCTGGAAAGTGCCAGGTTGAAAAATGAGGTTCTGGGCAGATCAAGGGACATCCCATTCCTCTGTAAAGCCATTGTCAGAATCATTCAAAGTGGCACTTTATTCTGTCACTATTAAAGAAGTATCTATCCAAAGATACCCATCACAAAACAGAAGCAAACTAGGAATCTAGCAGGCGTGGAAGATTGATTAAGCAAAAAAGTAAACATTTAGACCCAATGTGTTTGAACACTTCTGTAGAAGAAAATCAAACTTCTGGGTAATTTCTAGACAAAAGTAACTCTGAAAGGGACTATTTCTATGGTAATTTTAACATTTTAGTTTTCTCTAGAGATTATCCTAGACATACAGTCCCCTGCTCCCACAAGGAAAAGTCCAATACAGAAAACTTAAGTATTTACTTTTGAATGCCCTACCTTTGTCACAATCAAATGCTTTTGCTCCAAAGTCAAGCCACAAAGATAGCATTCTTGGCATCGACTGATAGATGAACTGGTTTCCAAAATGTAAAGATCTGAAATTAAAATACTTACTTGTAAGGCATCTATTTTACATACTTTCAGCTTTTTATTGCTGTAATTGATGTAATTTTATTACACAATATATTAGGATTTTAAAATTACATCTTGTATTCTACCCTGGTATCATAAGATGAAGGGCAATATACAAATAGCTTTAATAAACACTCATAATAATAATTATAAATTCACAATATCCTAAGTATCTTCTGCAAACTAAAGGATTTCTTCCATCCATGGAAGGTTTTCGATCTATCAAAGGATCTTGCTGGCACAAGGGTAGGAGAAGGTAAATTTTGCCAATATTCCCTTGTCTGTCATTGTTTTTAAAGATCCCTTCAACTCATTGTGGCAGATTTTTAGAAGACACAGGAAGCTTTAGGGAGACAGCTTTCAAACTGTTGTACAAAAATGAATCGGGGTGGGGAACCTGTGGCCCTCCAGATGTTGTTAAGCTACAATACTGATGTTCCCTACTACTGGCCAAGCTGGCTGGCATGAATAGCAGCTGGGATCCAGTACCAGGAAAGCCAAAGTCCCCCCTCCCCCTTTTGTTAAATGAGAACAATTCCAGTCATCCAGAATATCCTTGTATATAGTAACATACACAGACATGTGCACTATTGGAACAACAATTCTGCCTTCTGACCTTCCAAAGTGAATAACTATATATTTAATCAGGTCCCCTTGTTTTTCCATCTTGTTTTCTGTTACTGTAGGCATCACTTTATCATAGTATTTAGCTAGGTAGAAATGTCCATTTTCCCATTCTGGCAAGCAAACAGTGACATCCTGGGAAAAATTGGAAAATATTTCATTTGTTATCATTGAAACAACATTCTTTAAACCTAATAGGCAAACTCTGAATAATATACAAATGGAAAAACAACAATGCAACCTCTACAACTATTGAGAGCTAAGGCTGCAGACTCTCTACATACTTATCCTTGGCTATGTCTTTTGATATATTTCTGAGCATTTTGTTTTTATAAGGCATTTATAAGCTGTGCTTTAGCATGATGGCCCCATAAGAGTAATAAAACACCAAACAGCAACATGTAAGGAATCCACAGGAAAAACGCTTATACGGACAGTTGTTACTTAGTATATGAGCTTATTAGCCATTTGGAGATTAATTAAAGGCAGCCTTAAAGAGTGTTTTTCTTAAATGGAAAGGCACAACTCCAAAGCTGAGGAGCCACCACAGAGAAGGTCTTGTCCCATGTCCTTGATAATTTATATGATCCTACAGGTGAGTCACACAGGGAAGGTCTCAGAAACAGGTCTAGACATGTAATCAACATCACAGAGGTGAAAGTGATCTTGTATGTAATCTGTTCCCTAACATTTTAAGGCTTTGCATGCTGATAACAGCATCCTCAATTGGACTTGGAATTGCACAGGCAGCAAATGAAGCTGATGGAAAATTGGTATAGTATGTTTGGACTATATGCAGTTTGGACTATATGACCCACAATAGCTGCATTTTGCTTTACCTGAAGCTCCTAACCCCCTTTCAGAAACAATCCTATGCAAAGTGCATTACCGTCATCTTGAGATGACAAGTACATAGATAGCTGAGGAAAAACCTGGCACACAAGGGGGATGACAGTGAGTCCACTGTCACCAACTGGGCTTCCTCGGAAAGCAATGAGTGCAGAAATACCACCAGATTATGCAACAGATTCTTCAGGAGGATTGCAACCCTATCCAAAATTGGTTTCACATCAATATCCAGGTTAGTGGACAACTCAATCCAAAGAACCCCCATCTTCTATGCATTCAGCTAGTTTGTCCACATCCATTCTAGTACTGAAATCTAGACACTTATTCAGGAGATCTAGCACCTCATTGGAATTCTTAGGTGGAAAAGAGAGGTGCATCCATATAGCAGAGGAACCACCACAGTCCTAACTTCCAAAGGATTTCTTTTGGCACCTTCATACAGATGTTACTGTTGTTGTTACATCACATATCTACATTGTCTGTAGCTGAAGCTCTCTGGATGGTTCACAACATTAAAGTCACCCATCCAGATTTCAACCAGGCCCAACCCTGGTTGGCTTCCAAGATTAGGCAGGATTAGGCTATATGGAAGCTTGAAAAGCTTAGGTTGAAAAGCATAGTGATAGGATAAAACCCAGAGGCACTCCACATGCCAAAGCCTACCTGGTGGAAAAGAAGCCATCCAACACTGCCTTTTGATACTGGTCATCCCAGAAGGATTAGAACCAATGATGCACAGTACCTCTTCCAAACCAAACCCTTAACTATAAGTAAAAGTTCTAGTAGAACCACCTCCACCATTCAATTTTCACCAAGAATATTTCATTTACCAGAATAACCAAGCCTGTTTTAGTCCAGAAACCATGTCTGACTTCAGACTGAAATAGATCAAAATAATCAGCATCCTTTAAATATTTTAACAACTCTTAATAATATCTATAGGTTTTAATTTTGCAGCCAGGGTGATTCTGGGTTTTTAATTGTATTATTTTACTATGTATGTTTATTTATTTTATGTGAGCCGTCCCGAGGCTATAAGTGATGGGATTGCATACAAAAATTCCAAATAAATAAATAAATACATATTTTCCCAACAACTTGCCCATGAAGGAAAGCTTAGAGTGTGGACATTACTGCAGAATAATTCCCAATACCTATTTCAGGACAATAAGGTCCAGACTATCTCTCAGAAAAGTACTCAATATTTCAAATGTCCAATTCTTCAAAAACTGCACTGCAAGCTTTTAGGAGCAGTAGTGGGTAAGGATCAATTGAGCAAGTGATGGGTTCCAAATAACTTGGCCACACAGGTAAGTACTGAACTACAAAGTTACAAAAGAGTACCCATAGACAGAAAAGAATCAGGCTTCTGGACCAGATTTTATACAAACATCTTCAACTAGCTGCAGTGTGTATCATAAAAATACCAAGTTAGCAGATGTGTGGAGGAAGTACTATGGGACATCAATACAGCAAAGACATTTCTTAGCCTTGTAAGAAATGTGAAGACACTTAGAATGCATCTATTTTCCTATCAGCTCATCAAGAGGCACTTTTCTGGATTCAAGGGCAGTGTTCTTTGGTATATCGACACACAACAAAGTTAAATTGTATTACTAACATGCTCTACTTTTAGCATTTACCTTGTATTTCTTCATTACTGCATTACTCTCAAAGTTGGCTGTTTCTTCCATAAATCTGCCAACCAGCAACAAGGCCTGCCCATGTATTAGTTTACTTTTTATATCAGATGGTACTTGGCTATCTGGAAAACATAAGTCAACCCCCTTCTGAAGAATGATAAGGCCATGATGAGCCTCACCCTAAGTGGGGGAAAACATTAACAACAATTTAGTATTTATTAATTTTACCAGAAGGCCTTGAACATGCATTTATCTATTCACAATATTTGTATAACACTTTTCATTTGAAAACATATTATAAAGAAGTTTGGAAAAGAAAACCAACCAAGAACAAACAAAACCCACACATACATGACATCACTATAAAGATAGTTCATGGCTGAGGAAAGTCAAAGTAGACAAATGCATTTTCAGTAAAAGCCTAAAACATGCCAACACTGAGGTACCTCAGAGGGGAAATCATTTCAGGCTCATCTCCATAGCACTGCCAAATATAGCCTATATATTATTTCATCTATTAAATTTATACTTAATTTTATTTTATACCTTTGTATAAAATGTTCAGGTTTCTGAACCAAATTATGCATACAAGAATACAGCTGGACAGAAAAAAGTCAGAGTGAATTCAGCAGTTTCTGAACATAACTGGAAGCTATTTCAGCAATCAGAACTGTGGTTCTTTCAGCTGATGCAACCACAAGAATTCTTGCTGCAGTTAACATGTACCCTCTAGTTCAGGGTTAGGCACCCTCACACTAGCAAGCGAAATCTGGCCCTTCAGGGTTCCCCAGATGGCTATACCACTTTTCCAAGTACAGCCCCATTCCCCCTGATAACCATTTATTGCTGTTTTTCTAGCTTTTGCATGATCTTAAAGGTTGAAATGTTTCTCTTAAAACTTGGTTATGGGCATTAAGACGTTTAAACTAAAATATGCTTGTAAATTAATTTACTTGGACACTGTCCTTTTTATCTTTGGTCTCCCTCATCACTAGAATGTGGCCCCCAAGAATTTCTCCAAATTTGGCTGACAGACCACAAGAGGTTTCCCATCCCTGATCTAACATTTCCCCTTTGGGTAGTGTATGCACATATAAATCATACTAATGAATCAGCATGCCCTCCAGGAGTCCTGGGAAAATGTATTCCAAAAACCCTGAAATAGGATAGGCCAAATGCTCAATCATAGCATTAAGATCTAGGAGACTAATGTGTAACTAAAGGAACAATGCTATATAAGTTTAGCCAGAGGAAGGTCTAAATCTTCAGCATACCCCAGCCAACACAGGATCATGTGCAAAGGCTATTAGTCACAATAGCTAAATGGATTCTAAATATTCAGAGGCAGTATGCCACAAATACCAGTCACTGAAAGAACACAGTATGGTAGAACTACTGTCTTCATGCTTTTCAGCAGACTTGCTAGAAAGATCAACCTTCAGTAATTGTATCTCTCCAGAAATTATTACTAAGCATAGGAAAGTATGTAATACATAATATCATTTGCAGGGTGATATTCCCATTTGTTTTACTTTAGAGTGACGCTTGCTATAAAAAGACATCTATGAATGCTGCCCAATAATATGCCAATAAGTAATATGATAAATACAGAGGTAAAGCAGCTTAATTTTGTTTACCTTAGACCAAAGCCACTTTGCTCTTTCCACATACAGTTCAGATAGCTTAGACTCGCCAGCATTGAGGAGAGCATTATAGGCAGTCTGGTGATGACCAGCTTTCCGGGCAACCCGGGCACTTTGGAGCCAACATTCTCCCATCAGCTCACTGTAATCCTTTCTGTAGGAAGTCAAAAATACAAGCGCCACTTATAAAACCTCCCAAATAATCCATGCCTGATAATACATATATGTCAAAGAACAAACGTTTCTGATCCTACACATTTAAGTCAGGCTTAAAGACTTTTACCTATTAGGTTTCAGGCCGGCCTCAGCTACTGTTTGAAAATTAGCTCTGGAAGGCCTTGGGCCCTTCATATCTGCTCATCATGAATTCTACTCAGTATATAGGATCATTTATGGGATGGCATACAGGATGACCTTCTCTGCAATAGTTCTCATATTAAGATACTTCTTATGAAGACAGCTCAAACATACTAACAATTTGGAAGTTGTCATTTTATTTAAACCGGCATTTGTTAAACAGGCATTCAATGTGCATTAAGGTCCTGACAAGCACCAGTTGGTTGTATTTTAATTGCATTTTATATGACATCTCTAATCTTTGTAATATTATTTATACTTCTTTATAGCAGACAGAATTGTTCACCTTTTTATGAACTCGCCAGATACTGAAATTATATGCCATATTTGTGGAATATCCTTCAGCATCTTTTCCCCATATATTTCTTTTCTTTCTTTTTAATATATTTTGTGAAAATAAACAAACAAAAATTAAAAAAGGAACTCATAGGTGCTAACTAGAGTTGTGTAATGCAGGCCATTAATACATATGGCCTATACCAGTTCTTTATAGCTTACAAAATAAAGAGAGCAACTGCTAAAGTTCCAAAGCAGAATAAACATGGCTTCACCTTTTAGTGAGACTGAGTAAAGCTCGCCTAAGTGCCAGAATAGGTTCTTTAGCTCTGTATGAATTTTGTGTCATTTCTATACGAGCATGCCAGTTCAGAGAATCTTTTGCCCAGTTGCTATCAGATTGTTGAAGGATTGGTCCGACGCTGTGCTCAAGCTCACACAACATGTGTAACCTGTAATTAAAAAACAAAAATAGCTAGTCAAGCAACATACTTGAGATTAGAAATTGTTTAAGATTGTTGTTTCATTATCATAGGAGTCTATATTAATAATCTCTCATTAATATTAGGAGAAACATGTTCTAGCAGCAGTATGTCCTATCCTCTCTGTTTCCTCCAGAAATCTGTTTATTTCCTAGTGTTTGAATATCCTAAAATTCCATGCAATATAGAGTACAGACAACCAGGAAGTACCCAATTCAAATGTCAGCTCTAAATTTATTTATTTATTTAGAAAATTTCTAGGCCGCCCCATTCGCCGAAGCCTTGGGGCGGCTTACAAATAAATAAATAAATTAAAATACATAAATAACAATATAAAATACACCTAACTATATAAAATAAGTCACCCTGGCCAAAATGGACTTGCTAGATGGCTCAACTCCAAAGGAAGGCAACAGGTCCTGATGATTTATTCAGCATCTACCTAGGTGGACTTCCTTCCCCATTTTTTAGTGTATTGAAGCTCAAATCATACCTTTGCCTTGTACTCAGTGTTTTGGGCAGGTCACTTGTGCTTGCCATGCCTCCCATGTCAACCATTTGCCTAGTGATGTTCAGGACAATTTTGCAAATTACCAAATTTCACAGCCCTACAAGTTTGCCTCACTGCCCTGCTCTACATGCACACTGCTACTCCTTGAAGTCACCCATTCCCATAATGCATATGGAGGAAGTCATTGTTAATCTAACTTACAAGATTGTAGCTGGGATTTCAAATTCAACAATAAACATTAAAATGCAACTCAGCTATGATTATAGCAAGTGAATACTTTTGATTATAAATATGAATTCAATGCTTACCTGAAATTCTTGTGCTGTCAAGAGTGTGATAGGTAAGAAAAATCTTAGAATCCCAAGTTAAGTAACAAAGTGATCTTATGGACACAAGTTAGGTTCTAGAAGGATTTGTTGGAGTTGGGACTCCTTACTCAGAGCAACCTTCCTTGCAGACAGTATAGAAAGAACCATGCTGCCTGCTTTTCTGTTGTCACAAAAGCAACCTCAGAGAAGAGAATTGGGCTGAGGGGGGAAAATACCTACAAGATACCAGATATCCCAACAGTGCCTCAGCCACCTTTCCTCTCCCTCTGGAGAGAAGCAGTTAGACAGCCAAAATCAGTCATCTAGCTGCTTTGCAGTCAGGAGTGTGGAGGTGACCTTCTCCTCCAAGTGCCATCCTGACATGGGATGCTTGTAATCCTCCCACTTTGGAGGGTTATGAGCATCCCCATAGGATTGTACTCTAAATATTTCTTTAAATTAACATCAAATATGTGCAAAATATATTGAATGGCTTCAGACACTAAACATACTGAATGTGAAAAAAGAAACAAAATACCACCTGATAATGTATTCATATCCTCGTTGATATGAGCCCCTTTCAAAACTTGCTGCTGATAGTGGAACGATCTGCTCTGCTCGAACGACTTTCAAAGTTTCAAAGAAAGTGGCAGCTTCTTTCTTTTTAGCTGATAGCAACAATTGTCCAAGCCTAACACTCCATGTATTGGATTTCCCATCTAATAAAGTAGTGCCGGGCAGGAGCAACATAGTTTAAAAAATAAACAAAAACAACTTTAAAAAATTTAACTATAGATTGGTCTGTTTAAATTAAATGTAAGTTTATAATATTTTTGGAGCAATTACCAACCCATCATCTTTAATTTTAGCCACTTAGACAAGACAACAAGCCATGGTATTCCTTTACCAACACTGATCTGCTGTCTGAACCCAGTTGTGTTATTTCACCATGTTAAATCTGGTATCTAGAAACTATGGTAAGAAACTATGGCTTCTCTGTATTACTGTTTCATGGTTTTCAAAGTAAAGGTGTGCAACTACCACAAAGTCCTCTGGAAAGAGTTACAATTGCAGGATCAACTCCAACCATGCAGCCCCTGTGAGAACCAATCAGGAATAAGCAGATGGTATGGGAAAGAAGGAATGCATTCCAGGATTGAATTTCAGGCACAGTGGCTTATGCCAACAGTGGACTGAGTGGGGAGTATAGAAACCATGATAAAGTGGAAACCACTTGATCATTTCTCAATGAGTTGGTGATGCGGTTGTGTGAATGTGAATGTTGCCTTGTGTGAATACTTTAGCATAGTCATTGGATACAGCAAAGCTGATGAGTGCCTTAATATGAAAGAAAATCTCACTGATGATCTTGGTAATACACAGTTGATTCTAGTTTTACAGTTAACATATATGAAGCTGCCTTCTACTGATTAGACAGATGGGCCATCTAGTTTAGTTTTCAAGAAGGGGGCTTTGACCTACTATTTATTAAAATTATTTATATAAACTTTCAAGTTTAAAAACCTTCCAAGATGGCTTACAAGTAAAATAGTAGTATATTAATAAAAACTGCATAAACACTATTTTAAAATGTTTAAACTGTATTTGTACTTTTAATGTTTTTAAACATTTTTGTTAGCTGTCCTTTTTAGGGGAAAGGTAGGATAGAAAGGAATGCAGTAACATAGGATAATGTCTGTTTTTAATGTTGTTTTTAGACAAATTTTACCCTTAAGAATACTGGGATCTCCTCATACCCTACCCCAGGAATCTACAGTATTTTCAGAATTATTTGGTATGTTCTATCAAAGACTCTTCTTTACAAAGAAGGGAAGAAGGATTGCTAGCTTGTCAAATGTAAAAATAGGAGCACCAATTGATATACTGAGATCTAACTGGTATCTAACTGATGCTCTTGCACTGATCAAAGGCATCTGTCACAGAGATCGGAGGTGGACAGAGGATTTTCAGTTCTCCACATCAACTCCAAGATCTTTTGTGGGGGGTTGTGGAGGCCTGGGGTCCCCTTTGGAACAGGATTTCTTTGTTCCCCATTGTACTCTGTATCACCCTATATAAAGAGTCAGAAAGCAAGCCACAGCAAAAATACAATAAATATGAAGCTGTATTATCTTTCTGTTTCAAATAGCAACCTGCAGCTAAGTAGTTTTCCAGTGAATCCCACTGTGTCAGTTTCCAGGCTGCCTCTACTCTGTAGGGATTTAATTCAGGTATCCATTCAGGTCTAATAAAAGGAAAAAAGCAAACTTAAGTTAATATACAGAATATATATAATTTTTCTCATACAAAGCAACATATATATTAAAATACAAAGTGCATTTCAGATGATAATATTTCCTATATATGCTAGTCTAAGACCAAGACATAAAACAAAAAGTTGGAAAGGGAAGGCATTTTAGTTGATAACTCCAACTAATAGTATTAGATTTTCCCCAGACCCATTTGCATCAATAAATATGAGCTTTACATCATTTAGACAGGGAACATATCAGCTGCATTACCTCTTTGCAAGTACTCCATTCACTTGAGTAATTACAGTAGAGAACTGCCCAAGACCCAACATTGACTTCACCACACCATGATAATGATTTATCTATAAGGAGAAAAAGAAAACCAGAGCTACTCTTTTAGCTTACATTTCCCTCAGGGAGATCAAGGCAGCATACAAGTTCCTCTCCTGGCCATTTAATCCTCACAACAATCCTGTGAGGTAGATAGTGGGCAGATTCACACAATCAAGGAACAAGATACACTGACTTATTTGCTCTCCATGCACATGCCATCCAATTAACCCCACCTGGTCCAGATTGTTGTGATGGTCAAACCTGCCAAGGATGAGTGTCTGTGTTGATTTACAAACCACCCTGAACCCCTAGAATAAGCCATGGGTTTCAGGGTGGTTTCTAAACACCTGCTGGGTTTTGATATCATGACAGCCCACACTTAGTGACAGTAATCATGCTACTTAAGCAGCTTGCAGCCAGCAGCTGCAGGGAGGGGGAAATAGCCCTCATGGCTTATTTTCATTCCATGCAAACCCAGCCAATGTAATTTCAATCTAAACCCAAGCAAAAGCTTGTGCTCACTGAAATGCACACCATGTCTGTTACTAAAGGGACAGGTTGAGATTTTGATTTCTAACTAAAAACTGGAATGAAAAATGAATGAAGCAGGCTTTGCTGAAGGAAATGAGAGTGAGCCCAGGACCATCCCACCAGTTCTGCTGAAATATGTCCCTCATTAAGGCTCCTCTTTCCTCAACCGTCAGCACCAGCAGCCATTCCACCAACCCAGCTGATCTTTCCCTCTTCCCTTCCCATTCCTGTACAGCATGGGCTTCACCATGAGAAGAATTGTGAGAATTGAGGTTCAACAGGCAATATAGTGAACTTTCTTAGTGTTAAAAAGCCAGGATAGTTCCTTGAAGCTATGTCATGACCTTAAGTCTTTCAGCTTGTTAGAGAAAATACCAGAGATAATTACCTTGAACCTGACTTCCCCAATCATTATGTAGACGATGGCTGCTTTTGCTGTAAGAACAAACCTGTTTGCCTTAACTGATGCAGCTTTATGTTTTTCTCTTTCCTAGGAAGGGTGTGTGTGTGGGTGTGTGTGTGTGCGCACGCGCACACACATGTGCATATGGGGGGTTACAGCCTGTATATACTGACAGCTTCTGAATTAGGGGGAAAGAAGAACTTTATACATTTTGTGGCAAGAGCTGTTTGTTTTTTGTTCTTAACTTGGGAAGAAAAATTGACATGTTGTTTGACTAGGTAACTTCAGAGGTCCATGGAGGATCTTCTGGTCTATTCAGGGTATCAGCACTGCCACAGAGAAAGAAAGAGTACCATTTCTTCTGATTTATGTTCTGCATCTATATTGCATCATCGTATTCAAGAAAGGAGCTAAAGTGAGATGTTTCAGCTGCAGCAGGCCCCTGGGGTTAAAATAACCTTCTTTTCCTTGGGAGTCATGCCTTTTTATACAGCAGCTGTCTTGCCCTACCAATTCCATGTAAGCCACTCTCAGATTCTTTTTGGCTAAAGGGTGGGACAAACATATTTTCAATGAATCAGTCAATTAATTGAAGAAACTGAGGAACTATTGTTTGTTGTTATGTCTCGACAGAGACGAATGAAACCATTAAAATATGGCTACTCTGTGATTTCTCCACACAAACTAAGGCAGACATGAAGCTTTACTTGTCATATATTGTACTGTAACTGTACTGCTTTAATGTTGTGGGGAGGCAGTAAGGAAACAAATTAAGTCTGTTACAAGTTTTTACCTGCTCAGGCTCTAGCTGAATTGCTCTGTCATAGCAAGCTGTGGCATCTCTCAACAAGCCAATGCTTTCATGCTCAAGGATTTGTTCTCTGAGTGATGGCTCTGCCTTCCGTATTGCACTCACTCCTTGCACTCCATCTGGCTCGTGCATCGCTGCATACAATTTCTTTATGTGGGGAGGAAAAACATTTGCCACTGGAAAGTGTTCTGCCAGCACAATATTTGTGAGAATGTATGTTTGTTTAAAGCTTTTATATGCTGTCCTTCACAAAAAGTCCCAGGACAGTAATACAATGAAATACAAGTACAGCATCAGGCAACAAATTACATCAGATAAAACCCCATCTTAAAGCATTTTTTCAGTTTAAAGTACGGGATTAACCTGGCGTGCTGCTGTAAACCCAAGCCAAATTCCTTCCCATGCTGCTCATAACCCAACTGGACATGAGAAGCAGAAGGAAGAGGAGTAGACTGACTCAGTTGCAGCTTGCAGAAACTGCTCTAGCAAGCCCTGGCTGGGTCCTTTCTCTGAGCCTCCATCTGCTGGCTTGATCCAAAAGGGTAAGCTGGCCCCCAGAACAAAAGTGATGGTCATTCCTTCATTTCAAGCTTTGTGAACAGTTTTGGGTAGTATTGAAACAGTGCCTTTCCACACTATGTGAAGGTCCTATTTCAAGACAGAAATACAATTCAAAGTTCTATTTATGATTTTAAAAATGTATTTAAAATGTATTTTCCCGTACTTAAAATCATTTTGAATTATAGTTGTAAACTACTCCAATACATCTTCCAGTAAAGCACTATATACATGTAACAAAGAGATGAATATACTAATAACTTTAAAATTCACTCCCTTTTCTCTGAAAAGTGATAGTGTTATCTTTTCACTTATAAACATTTTACTTCTGTATTAATTAAAATTTAAAAATACTGATTAGGAACTGTGAAGTGTTTTTCTCAGTGTAAAATGTACCTATTCTGTATCAACAATCAAACTTTTATAATCACACCTCTACTTTCTCTCATCCATTAATTCAAGCCATATCACCAGCAAAATGATATGGCTTGAATTAACAGTTCCACAGAAAGCACTTACATCAATTTAATTAATTAAATTTATGTAATATTTATTACTTTACATTAATAAATTATTATTAAATAATTTATTTCACTATATTGCATAGGCTCAATGAAAAAATGAAGCTAACAGAACAATCTATGGCCCCTGGTCAGCATCTAGAGGGTCATAAGATAATTTGGATTCCCACCTCTGTAGCTATAGAAATGATATTGGAAAACTAGTCTGACTTAGGAGCTGGAGATCTGCATTCATTCACATCATGCTACCACTGGTAGCACCTGACAGAAAGAATCATACCAACATTGTCATCAGAATAACCTTCAAGAAGTGATTTAGAGGACGGGAAGTGGAGAAGACTGGAACCACCAAGGTACAAAGTACATTGGCAGTGCCTAAGCCTTCTTTCCTTCTGCTCTGGAGTGCTGCTGTACAACAGTCTAAACTGGCCATCTATCTGCTTTCTAGAGTGGGAAGAGCATGGAGGCAGCCTTCACATCCTGGCATGATGCACAGGCTGCCCATCAAGCCCCATGAATGGAAGGTTACAGGCTGCTTCATTGGACTGCAGCCTAAAACAATGCAGTAACTCATTCTACAGTAAAACAGATAGTGGAAGTGACAGTATGAAGCACTGAGGTTCAACTTTGTTTTATATCATAAGAAAAAGCCAAACCTGCAAAAATCCAAGATGTTCTTGAATGCTTTGTTTCTTTTCCATGATGAATGATTCAAAGTGCATTACTGCTCTTGTGTAGGCTTTTGAGCGAAAGGAAGCTGCAGCCAGTGTGTCCTGAGGGATGAGGTCAAGAAAACGGACTACATTTTGATATTCTCCATATTCCTCAGTTGTTGCTACGAAACAAGAGTGTAAAAAAAGCATAATTAATACTAATGTTCTCAATGCTTAAGAACAGGATATCAGAAAGGACTGCCTGACTTTTAGGTACAAGTTATACTGATACTGCAACACTAGCGATGTAAACACCACTGAAAGAAGAGTATCACTGACCTTGCAACTCTGCATGGCCCTTGTTTGACTTGCTAGCAGCTTTCTCAGCACGCAGTCTTTTGAATTTATATCTGGCCCACTGCGTTAAATGATCAAGCATGGAGAATACTGTCTGTGTGCTCAGTTGACTCAAATCTGAAGCACTATCCTCACATCTTCTTGCACAGGTGTCATCATTTTTCAGAACAGCCATGATTTCTGAATAAACCTAGATAATTTGAAATTAAAGCGGGGGGGGGGGGAATGCAAGATTTTTGCTTGCGAACAACTCAAGGAGAGAGGTTGTGCCTCTACCATTCAAACTGTTATTTAGAAGAACCTAAACAATTTCAGGAGCCAATGTGGCTCCTTGTTGGAAAGTTAGACTGGGAATCTAGGAGATCCAGATTCTAGTCCCCACTCAGCCATTAAGCTCACTAAGTGACTTTGAGTCAGTCAGTAGCTCCCAACCTAGCTTATTTCACAGGGCTGTTGCTGTGAGGATAAAAATGGCATGGAGAACTATGCAAGCCACCATGGGTTCTTCACAAGAGGAAAAAAGATGGGATATAAATGCAATAGAGCAACAACAATTTGAACAGTTTCAGATCCACCTTCTTCACTTTCTGGTCTTTATGGGAAAAACAAAAAGGAAGTCACTGTGCTCCCAGACACTTTTCCATGCCCTATGACACCCACTTGTTTGTTTGTTAAAATTAACACACGTTCTTACGCGCAACTGAGATTGCTGTGAAATAGGTTTCTGATGTTGAAAACTAGCTCAGTTTTACCTCCTATGCTGTCCAACGTCTACATGAAACCATTGAGATGGGGTGTTATCTGGACCTGTAAGCTTAGGTATCATCTATACAGATGACACCCAATTGTATCTCTTCTTTTCATCAAATCCAGGTTAGGCAGTAACTGCTCTGAATCACTGCCTAGGCCAATAAACTGAAGCTCAACTCAGACAAGATAAAGGTACTGTTAGTGGGTGGTTCACCTGCCCAGATGAGTACTATCCACCCTTTCCTAGAATGAATGGCAATCTATATTGGAAATCAAAGGTAATCATTCACACATCTCTTACAAGAACACATTTTAAGAATTTCTGAAGAAAATAGAGGTATAAAGGGGGTCTCACCTCTTGCTGATCCTCCTGATTGCATCCCAAAAGAACATAAACCAGAATGTGGGGAAGGAGATAGATTGTCACCTTATAGTCATTCTTCATCATAATACAGCAGCAGTTAAAAACCTTACTGGCAAGATCATGTCGTACCTGAAACAAGGCTGCATTTTTAGTCTAAATTTATTTTGACATTCAAAATTTACACAGCTAGCTGACAAGTAACATTACAAACAGTATCCAATCAAAGCATGTGCTCATTACTCTTACCTTTGTTATAAGGTAGCCAGCCCAAGTTGCTGACCATTCCTCAAAGTTTTTGCCTAATCTGCTTAAGTAAATAGGCTTCTTAACCTTTGACCAGTTTACAGCCTTCTGATAACTCTTGTATCTGTAAACATAATTTCCCAAATTGGTTAGCATTTATTAACTTAAAAAAGAAGGAAGAATAATGAACCAACACTATAGTAGCAACGACATAACCTTTTATTCTGAATTTTTTCATTAGATCTTACATCTTTGTACTACTGCTTACTCAAGGAAAATTTTTGTTTTGAAAGGCACATTTCAGGGATCTATAGCTTTCTAATAAGGATTTGTTTCAGAAAAGGTTAAGTATATACAAAAAAGGGCTAACTGTAATTCTAAAACATTAGGACTTGCTTATACCTGAATGACCTGCTAATTTGATATGTTATTTAACTTAAATTGCATCTTAAATTGAAAACATGTCTTATGTTCAAGTATAATGAAAGATGGTAGAAGAAACATATGTGATGGAAGTCTGGATAATCATTAAAATCTTTTGTTTTAGTCTAATTTTGCTGGACTGATGTAGTCTAATTCAAAGCACTGAACTTATTTTTCGTATTGCCTACCTAGTATTTAAATGAGGTTCCAATATTTCTTGGATATGATCAGGAAACATTTTCCAAAGCTTGGAGCCTGAGCAATCAGAAGCTGTCTCCCTACAACCATAGATAGACAGTAACTCCTAAATAAAAATACACATGAACACATTAGTGTTTCGTATGACAAAGTATCTGCTACAAATTATTCTTAGGAAATAAAAGTGGAAAAAGAAGAATTCCATTACCTTACTGATGCCAGATACATTACCCCAGCCTTCCCCAACCTGGTAACCTTCAGTAGCATTTGGACTGCAACTCCCAGAATTCCCATCCAGCATGGCCATTGACAGGGAATTCTGGGTGCTGCAGTCCAAAATGTCCAGAAGGCACACAGTTGGTGAAGGGTGCATTAGCTCAATTCATGCATCACACTCAGGCTCCCAGAGATCCCTCTCCACCTTGCATGCTCGAAATCACTCTCTCTCTCATCACACAAGTTGTCATAATTATACTTGGTTAGGAAAATTATAGTTAACCTCCAAACCAGAACTACAAACTTTATGTTGTACAGGCATTTCCATTATGGATTGCGGTAACTCCACATTGCCCAAACTAGACATCTCAGGCATTACTGTGGACTAAAAAAGAGGGATGGTATTGGAATATGAGAGTGGAGGTGGGAATGCTCAAGTCCAAGTGTTAGCCCCCAAAAGCCAAACTATGGTTTTTCCATGACAAGTAAACCTGGTTTTTAAAGTGATTGATATTTAGCCTCTACTCTCAATACTTAGAAAACAGAGTACTTAACAAAAATACATAGTTTATTTAGTTTTTGTTTTGTGTGGATAACATTTTTATGGCTGTGCTGAACTGAAGTTATCAGCTACAAGTACCTAACCTAAAAATAACCCTTCAGAACACAATCCTGTGAATTGGACCCTTGACTCCCCATCTCTTTTCACCCTCCAAAGATCTACTTAGGTCAGCCACCATAGCTCTTTCTGTGTTAGCTGTGACTGAGAGGGGCAGTGGATCTCTGATTCTCAGCTCCAAGGATGAAGTGCTGTGCCCAGCCTCTGAGCTGGCACCCTGAATTATCCTGTGGCCTGTTGGACACTGTTTAGGGACCCTGATCCTTTAGAATCCATGCAACCATAAGTTGTTTATACACTACATATTTTATTTTTAGTGTTACACATGCAAAGCTATCCAGAAAAACGGAAAATAGGACAGATAACCATTACATAGGAGATGGGAGGAAGCAGCATATGAAGCATCAATTCTTTTCAAATGTCTTTACATAGTGAATTGGAAGCCTTGAATTTACACCTCCCACCTGTTGCTGCTGGTTGTAAGGTTTATTTTAACAGTTAAACAGCCGTTATAATATAACCACAGACATATGAAGACAAATCAAAGTAAATGCTTATTCTACAAGCCCTTTAACACAGTTGTCAACATTTAAGCATAACAAAAACTTCATGATTAGTGTTCAGGAACAGAACAGGGAATGCTCATTCACTAATCCCATTCTAACGGCTTGGAATTTATGATGTGCCCTTTTTATAATTTTTATTATTGTTTAGAGTATGATCTATTTTATTGATTTTAATAGAATGAAGATTAGTAAATTCTTTTGTTTTAACAAACAGACCATCCTTACCTGAATAGCATATGAGGCAGAATCTTGTGCCCTGACATTATCAGCATAAGCAAGGAATGCTCTTGTCAACTCAGTGAGTAATCCATGGGCAAAATGTGGATCTTCTACTCCCGTCTCAAGAAAAAGATAACAGATTTCTTAGAAGAGTCTTAGATTTCAGTGTTGTTAATATCTTGTCACTCTCACAGTCTAGTTCAAGTTGTGATTATACAGTGGAAGGGCTGATAGTCTCAACAGGCATTGGAGTGCACAGCTACTTCCAATGAGAGAGCCATAAACTTTGGTCAGTAATCAGAAACAGTATAAGCAAAGGATCTCTCTACTGACACACTGCAACTCAAGAGGGTCTGAAATGCAGGTAAGAGGGGAACATGGTGGTTCTCCCTATCCCTTATTTATGATCCGAGACTTAGAAAAGCAGGTTGCTTACCTATAACTGATGTTCTTTGAGTGGCCATCTGTGCAGTCACATGCATGGGTGCTGCGCCTGCGCAGTGCCTAGGCTGGAAGATTCAAAGCTAACGGTATTGGCGGGAAAAACTCCGCTCCCCCTCCCCTCGGTAGTATATATAGAGCAGAGTGTCTGCCATTTTCTCCAGTCTTTGGAGACCGCAAGTTCGCCACCCCATGGAATAAGATGGCATAACAACCTAGTATGTACCGACACAGTCCCCCTCGGTACCAACGTTACCAGTATGAGGTACCGAAGCAGTACGATACGGTACTGACAATGAAACCACTCACCGACACCGAGCAGGGCTGACGGGTGGGTTGTGTGACTGCACAGATGGCCACTCGAAGAACATCAGTTACAGGTAAGCAACCTGCTTTTTCTTCTCTGTGCACCACACATATGGGTGAATAGCAAGCTTACCAGAAACAGTGGCGGGAGGTGTCGCTATTGAAGGACGGCAGAAAGAACAGCCCTCCCGAATGAGCAGTCTCGTCTGGCACGCACATCAAGACGATAGTGCTTTGTGAAAGTACAAGGCGTAGCCCAGGTTGCTGCCTTACAGACATCCTGGATCGGGACACCCGCAGCGAACGCGGAGAAAGCTGAGACTGCTCTAGTGGAATGGCCCCTTGGAACAACAGGTAAGTCCAGCTTTGAGAGTGGGTACGCCAACGATATGGTTTGAACGATCCATTTCGACAGCCTCTTAGACGAAACAGGCGATCCTTCGTCTCACTCAGAATACTTTACAAAAAGTTTATTGGAATGTCAAACAGATTCCGTGCACGACCTATAAAAAGCCAGGCATCGTCTAACATCTAAGGTGTGCAAGGACCTCTCGATCGGGTTCGACGGCAACGGGAAAAAGGCAGGCAGCACAATTTCTTGGTTCAGGTGAAACAGTGTGGCAACTTTAGGCAAAAAAGTAGGGTCCATCCTCAGGACCACATAAAGCACACAGAGCACAAAGTTCACTGGCTCTACGAGCTGAAGTAACTGCAACTAAAAAAAGCCGTTTTCCATGAAACAAGGCATAAATCGACGGTGGCTAACGGTTCGAATGGTGGTTTTGTAAGTGCCTGTACGACAACTGTGAGACTCCACATCGGCATAAATGGCCGAATGGACGGGTGTAGATTCTGCAGGCCTTTAAGAAATTTCCAAATAAGCGGTTGTGAAAACACCGACAGCCCTCGCACTACACCATGATAATGTGAAACTGCAGCTGCATAAACCTTAATTGAGGAGGGTTTCAGTCCCAAGCGATGCAGGTGCAGCAAAAACTGAAGAATGTTCTCAATCGACGCCGTAAGCGGGTTAAATGAGTTAGATTCCGTGTAGAATGAAAAACGACGCCACTTCGTCACGTAGGACTTTTGAATGGACAGTCTCAGTGCAGATTCGAGAATCTGTACAACCTTCGGATCCAAAGAACTCGGTCCCAACAATATTCCCGTCGGTACCAAATCAGTGAGAGGGTCCGACCGATCATGAGTGGAGGTACCTAGTGATCTATTAGATCCCTGTTCCGAAACAGTCCCTTGAGTCAATGAATCCTCCACGCAGTGAGGTTCAATGGTGACAGGTCTGGGTGACAGACGGCCCCGTTTTGTTGGGTTAGAAAATCTTGTGTGAGCGGAAGGCGAAGGAAATTGCCCTTCGAGATGTGAAGGAGAGTGAGAACCACGCCTGGCAAGGCCACCAAGGTGCTATGAGTATCCCCGTGGCATCGTCGTGCACGATCTTCGAGATGACTTTGGTCAGCAGAGGAATAGGTGGGAATGCATAGAACCTGAGATTTGTCCATGTAATCATAAGGGCATCTCCCATCAATCCCGGTCCTATTCCTGCCCTGGAGCAGAACCTTTTGCACACCTTGTTTCTGTTGGTGGCAAAGAGATCGAATGTCCCCACAGTTGGAACAGTTGGGTGCAAACTTGGTGGTTTAGTTCCCATGTAGTTCCCACATGTCGTGGGTGATTGACATATGTCTGCTCAAGGAGTCTGCCTCTTCGTGGTCGGTCCCGACCAGATGGACCGCCAAAAGGGTTGTGCCTCTCGGGATACACCACTCCCAAATGTCCATGGACAGGCGGGCCAGGGCGGTGGATTTTGTGCCGCCCTGCTTGTTGATATAGAATACCGCCACTATGCTGTCTGATGTGAGCTGTATCATGCATTGGTGAAGAACGGTTTCGAAGGACCATAGTGCTTTGAACATCACTAACAGCTCGAGGTAATTTATGTGGCTCAGCGATTCCTGGCGGTTCCACATGCCTTGGGATCGAAACCCTGTGCACACCGCGCCCCACCTGACCAACGAAGCGCTGGTGTATAGAGTCCTTGTCTGGTGAGGGGTAATCAATGGGATCCCCACATTCAGATTGGGTGGGGAGACCCACCAAGTCAATGTCTGTAAAACAGCGCGGGGTACACGAAGAAGTTTGTTTGGTAAATCTCTTTGTGGACGAAAGTTCTTGTTGAACCAGAGTTGAAGTGGACGAAACTTCAGCCTGACATGTGGGACAATGGCGACTGTGGCTGCCATGTGACCCAAAAATCTTTGTATGGAAAGCGCTGTGACTACGCGGTCTCGTCAAATCCAAGAGATGCAGGCACGGAGGCTGTCCTGACGAGCTTGGGGGAGGAATGCCCTTGCCACCGTAGAATCGAGACGAGCTCCGATGAAGTCTATCACCTGTGTAGGAACAAGGGATGATTTTTCACTGTTAATGCAAAGTCCAAGGTTGTCCAATAATGTACAAACAGTATGAACAGCTGAGAGTAGGGTTTCACGGGTCGGTGACACTATAAGCCAGTCATCCAGGTAAGGGTAGACTTGGATGCCCTGAAGTCGAAGATGAGCACAGACGGAAGCCATACATTTTGTGAAGACCCTCGGAGCTGTGGCCAAGCCAAATGGAAGGGCATTAAACTCGTAAATGTCAGTTCCGATGGTGAAATGCAGAAGACGCCTATGACTTTGGTGAATCAAAATATGGAAATAGACATTCTTTAAGTCAATGGAGGCGAACCAATCCTCTCTCCTCAGCAGCAGAAGAATATTTTGGAGGGTAGTCATCTGAAATTTCTTTGGTTTGATAAATTTGTTGATATTCCGGAGGTCCAAGATCGAATGAAGACCACTGTCTCGTTTCTGGACCATAAAATATCTAGAGTAGAATCCGTGCAGTCACTCGGAACTGGAAACCCATCGAATCGCTCCCTTCTGAAGCACTTGTTGCACTTCATTCACTAACACCGGGGAGCGCGGTGTAAATCGAATCGGGCTCGATGGAGGAACAGTATTGAATTCTATTCTGTATCCAAGCTGAATAATTGACAGGACCCACCGATCAGATGTAATGGACTCCCAAATGGGGTGTCGGCCTTGCAGCCGTTCCCCAAAAGGGAGGGGGAAGGGTGGGTATGGAGGTGGAGAAGAGGTTCGCACGTCCCATCAGTGTTGACGCTTCTCGGTATCGAAACATCAACGATTTTGTGGAAAACGCTCATGAGGTTGTTGCCTTCTGCGTTGTGGACTCTGTTGGTACTGTCATTGAGGCGGCTGATAGCGGTAGGATGGGCGTGACCATGACCACTTACATTTGTTCTGTCTGGGCAGTTCCATGCGTCTGGCCGTCATCCGGGATTCATGGGTTGACTTTAACTTGTGATCGGTACGGGAGTGAAAAAGCCCGGAGCTGTCAAAAGGCATTTCCTCTATTCATTGCTTCATTTCATCGGGGAAGTTGCAGTTTCGCAACCAGGCATGCCTTCTCAGTGAGACAGCTCCCACAAGCGCTCTCGAATCCGTATCCACATGGTGGCGTGCTATGGATAACTGTTAAATGGCGACTTGCATCCCCTCTTTAATGAAGGTTCTGGCAAGGTCCCTTTGTTGCTCAGGCAGGGGAGCGACGATATTATTCAGCCTCTGCATAATAAAGAATTGATACCTAGCGAGGGTGGCTTCATAGTTGGACATCCGAAGCCCGAGTCCTGCAGCCGCATAGACCCTGCGCACCAGGGTATCAATCTTGCGCCCCTCCTTATCTCTGGGGGTGGTATGGCCTCTAGCTTCCCTGCCCTGAGATGATTCGACCACCACAGAGTTTGGCTTAGGGTGGTGAAGCAGAAAGGGGATGTCGCTCTCTCGGACCCGATACATGGACTCGTATCTTCTCACCGTAGGTTGAGTTTGAGAAGGCAAGTCCCATGGTTGCGTCATCGCCTGCCGCAGAGTTGTAATATGCGGCAAGACGATTGCTGGTGATTGTTCTCCCTGAACAATGTCGTAGAACTTGTCAGTGCTCGGATCTGGCTGATGTTGCGCCTCGATCTCGAGTGACCAAACAAGTTTAGACATAAGCTCCCCGAATGAAATGTGGGGTTCTTCAGGCGATGACGGGCCTTGAGATATAATCATGCCATCTGGGGAGGTAGAGTCGGCATCCGAGTCTGAGTCGGGTCCGGGATGGCATGATTCTGATGAGGAGGTCCCTGGAGAAGTGGGACGATCGGGTTCAACATGCAGGGAAGTAGACGGCAGATCCTCATGAACAGAGGGTGAAGAACGATCCTGTGGGTGAGGACGAAATCCAAAAGAATGGTAGTCCTCCCAACCCCTTGGGTAGTCATAGTAGGGTCGGAACCATCCTTCTTCCCGCCTCTCGTCCATCCGGGTCCGAGGTGGTGGTGACGGAAATTGGTCTCTAGCTCTCGCCGTAGGCATAGGAGTCAGGGACCGGGCCCTCAGAGGCAAATCCTGAATCTCCCCATCAGACATCGACTCACGATACTGCTCTTCGGGCAGTGGAATAGGCATGCCCTGTTGAGGAGCAGATTGCATCGGTGACCCCGGAGGAATAACCTGCATCGCCACCTGAAGCATCAGTACAGATGGAGTTGGTACCGAAGCTGCTGTCGGGATCGATGGGGCCGTCGAACCCGAATCCCGATGCCTCTTCTTATGAGGCAGTTTTGCTGCCTTATCTTTCTTCGCCTTTTTGTGAGCCGAAGATTGATCCGATCCCCCGTGCTTCCTCTTTTTCCGTTGTTTATGAGGGGGCAAAAGAGGTAACTGAGCCCCTGGGGGGGAATTTCCACTGTCGGATGGTTGCAGCTGTGGCATAGGCGGCGTGGGCGAAGGGCATTGCCCAGACATGCCCGCGGCAGAGGCTGGGCGTTGAACCGGCTTGGACGAGGCTGAGGCCTTGTGCTTAGCAGATGGAGCATGCGCTGGCCCGGGTTTTCCTGCAGGCTGATCGGATTGCATCAGCACTTGATCCCAAAGCAGTTTGCGCAGCCGGTTCTCCCTATTCTTTCACGCTTGCTTAGTGAAAGCAAGGCAATGACGGCATTTATCAGACCTGTGCCCCTCACCGAGGCAGAGGAGGCACAAGTCATGAGGGTCTGCTGGAGACATTTTGGACCCACATTCTGCACACTTGCGGAAGGCCGCTCGCTGCACCATCGCAGAAAAAGAAGAAATAGAATACAGAAAGAGGGAAAAGTAATAAATTTTTGTTTTTGTTTTTGTTTTGTTTTTATAGGAACAAGTAAAGAGAAAAAGAAGATATAAACTGGAATGAGGGAATAATAACTTGGAATAAGAGTAAGAAGATAAACGGTAAGTAATGAACAATACTGAGTCAAGCGAGAGACGAACAGGCACAAGGTACAGTGAACGGCGGTTGCAAAAGACTGGAGAAAATGGCAGACACTCTGCTCTATATATACTACCGAGGGGAGGGGGAGCGGAGTTTTTCCCGCCAAAACCGTTAGCTTTCAATCTTTCCGGCCTACGCACTGTGCAGGCGCAGCACCCATATGTGTGATGCACAGAGGCCACGACGAAGAACAGGCATGAAAGTAATCCCTCTTATTCCTCTGTGAGAAATCACTCACACATGCAAATGTTGGCAGTCCATTCAAGGTACGACATTATTACAGTCACAAGCTGTACCTGCACTAGAACAAGACAGGGAAATCTATGGC